AGGTAGTAGGTGCAATAGTTTTAAAGCATTAACTCTCTTCCATATTTTATTTCACATACTCACCACACTATAGATATGGATAGATATATAGATTTTAGGTTGACGTCTATTGGTTTTCTTTTATTTCAGCCTCGTGCACAAGTTTGTTGTAGTCTATAAATTATATGTATAATTGGCGCTTTGTAACCGCTGAAACGATATTCAGCCGAGCTCCTTCTCCAATTTTCATTTGTCCGGTCATCAAATAAAGTAAAGCTACCATGCGGAAGGTCATAGACTCGAACCCTTCAAAGACCAACATCCAAATAAAAATACTCATGCAAAAATGCTGATTTTTTCTTTATTCATTGAATATGCTTCCGGACCCAACGGTAAAGAACATTCGGATATATCTCTTTTTAGACGACTTTATATTGCATTGACCACCGCTTGTCCCATTTTACTTTAAAGTGTATTTAATCGAATTGGAAATAGAGCAGAAGAGTTACGGGTAGTGTAGAATAGAGCATAGAAAGAACTCAGAGCAATACTGATACTCACAGATATTTAAATTAGAGATAAAAATGTGCCTTATACAAGTCTTTGCAAAAGGATATTTCCAGTTCATGTGAAATAAACACATAGTTAGATGTCAATAACATACATATGTCATTTATATAGATATATGTATGTAAGTAAAAATATCTGTACTAATGGAGATTAAACAAAGAACAAAATCTAATTATAAGTCAAATTATGAAAATTATGTATATATGTATACATTATTTACTTACAATACATGTCCGTTTGTATGCAAATATAAATATGTAGATATCTATGTATGTAGATGTGTACATGGCATTCATCTGGCGTTCTCTTACGCCTGTATGCAAAATTCGTGTCAATTTAATTCTGTAAATCCCAGCCCATGAATACAAAATAAGTTGGAAATCTCTTTTGGAAATCTCTTTTGCAATGAAAATATGTCCATATCTAAATAATAATTTTTGTTGTAAACGAAAGAGTACAGGCATTTGAAATCCTTGAATTTTCTTCATGTTAACTATAGCATACTTGTGTACCTATGCACGTATATGTTCATATGCATATAATATATTCAATTATTAAAGCATACTGATTTCAATAGGATAGTACAGTCGATGATCAAAAATTAAAACCATTTGGATTTTACAGTTCTGTAATGTCGGCCGCGGTAGCCGAGTGGTTAGCATTGCGTAATGATATTCGGTAGGTTGGGGTTCATATCCCGGTGCCAGCAACATCTAAAAGTTATGAAAAATTAATTTAAATAAAAAATTAAGCTAAATTTTCTAACTGCGGTCGCCCGTCGGCAGGGAATGTCCACTCCTCCGAGTGCATTTCGGGCACGGTTTGGTATAAACTGTAGGTCCCTCTATTTGTTGGAAAAGCATCAAGACGCAAAAACCACAAATTGGAGGAGGAAAAATCGCTTCAGCGGTTACAAAGCGCCAAAGCGCTGTTTAGACTACTCAATCATTTTTCATCACTTTCGTTTTGTGGACAGAAACTTTGTATTAGGCTTTTGCTCCCTTAACTGACACCTCTGCCAAGATTTCTGACACAACGTCCTCATTTTCATCGTCTGTATCTATCACTGATGAAATTTCGTCATCGGTTAGTGAATCTGTGACTGCAACATCTTCATCCACTCGAACAAAGCCACTTTCTTCATCATCCGTAATTATTGGTACGCCCATAAAATAGACATCAGAACCGTGATATTCGCAGTAAGTTGTTTATCGAGTGGATTTAAAACGAGCTTTACAATTTCAATGACAGATGATCTTATGGTTCAATGGTTGCAGTTTAGGAGTTGTATACGGTGGAAAGAAGAGAAATAGGACTAATTTCTACTAAAAGCCAATTCTTAAAAAGTTCTGTCGTCGTCCAAGCTTTTTTGTCGGCCCCATGATTAGTAAGAACCGATTTCGCTCATTTGAAACATCGCGGTTTTATTGCTTTTCCTAAGGTTCTAAGTATTTTCGATACGTCCATATTGACTATTACACTTCCCCCCACAAACATTTTTTAAAGACATCCCCATTTTTTGTTTCAAAATTTGTGAGCCACCCTTAACTTATCACAAAGTTTTCGATGTGAAGAGTAGACACGAATTCTTTCCCTTTTTCCTTTCTTCCATACGAGGAAATACATCTTTAGTTGTTTCTTCCCCGTACTTCAACTGTTTGTGTAGCATAATTATTCTCCTCTCTACTCAGAGAAATCTTAAAATCTTTTGCAACCTCAGTTTTGTTCTCACCTTTCTCTTTCGATTTTTTTCGATTAACTTCTTCGTTTCAGCAATCATCAAGCATTTATTTTATTTAATTTTATCTGTGTACGTCCAACGATTAGTAACTGAAACTTACCAATTCGTGCGAACAACCACACAAACTTTTCATTACAAAAACAAAGGGAATGCACCTGAAAAATCCGGCCCCTTATTTGGGAAGGTGCCGCTGTCCAATTGGTTGATGTCCTAATCAAATTAAAGGCTGACATCACCACCGTCCAAGAAGTACGATGAATGGAACAAGGACGGAAGAATTTGGGTCTTTGTGAAAAATACTACATCGGCCATAGAAAGTTGCGCAAATTTGGTGTCGGATTTTTGGTAGGGGAGAGACTTGACGGACTATGTGGCCAAACATACATTTTTATGATCGCTGCTTGGAGACTTCAACGCAAGGGAAATTCAGCCTCCATGACGAAACATCCTCAAATGGGTTGAGGCTGATCGACTTCACCGGTGGTTGACTGTAGTACTAGATTCCAGCATAAGAAAATTCTCCAGATCGAAAAACTCACAACCATATCAATAATGTTGTGATAGACGGAAGACGTGTATCGAGTGTTTTAGATGTGCTTACATTCCGAGCTCATAACATCGACTCCGATCACGACCTTATCGCAACGAATATATGCCCGAGCCTCTGCGTCAGCGCCCACCTGCTTTGATATAAGGGAACTGATGAACAGCATCCCCACCTCCCTACGTGCCGCCGCTTCGGAAATAAATGGTTTTTGACAGTGCCAGAAAGACAACTGGCACGATGAGGAATGTCGAACTGCAGTGGAGAGAAAACCGAGATCGCAATGCGATCGACCATAACATGAGCGGGGTGGGTTAGGTACCGAGAGCTGAAGAGGAAAGCAATACGCATTTGCAGAAAAAAAGAAAATAAAGGAGAACCCGAAATCCCAAAAACATCATTTCTTAGGGCTACTAACTAGATGTAAGGCCTTAACCGAACATTGAGAAAACAACTTTTATGCGACCTTCTGATCACGTTATGATTAAGGACTTAACCGGGGATGGTGGAAATAGCCCTTAGCTTGTTTGTTTTTGATTCCGAGATCAATATTTTATTTTTTAGGAATTGCCGGGTAGTTACGATGTGTTCGAATTAGCGAATCATTTTGTCAGGGGGCGATTATTTTTGGGTTTGTGATACGATGTGCATTAAAATGTATTGATTTAGTTCGAAATATAAAGAGATTTTCTAGGGCAAGAGGTTCCAAATATCGCAGGATTGAATTAACAACAGTCCACTGCATTTGATACAACTGCTACCAGCTAGCAGGAATTAGAAAGCATGAAAAACATCCGATCATTTTAGCCAACATGTGTCCGGAGTGCATGACGACATATCACGTCAGCTCCTTTAACGATTTTCCTATCACTTTCTTAATGCCCAAATGACAAACGTGATGTTTACATTTGTACACGTGTACGTCGTTCTCTCTTCGTTTCGTGCATTTTGGTCATTCTTGTCGGACAAACGGAACACAGATGAGCTACAGCATTGATGTCGAAGGAAATCAGCTTTGTCAAAAATTTTCCTAACATATTCAATTTTTATTTCAATATTTAACATAAATCATGTACATGGCTTACATAGCATACAAAAGAAATAACAATGCAACAATAAATTCGCTTTCTAAAATAAGCAAAATATTATAAGGAAAACCGCACATACAGAAGTCTTTAATAACGTCTCCGTCATAATCGCAGCTCGAATCAACATGTTATTAATACCTTAATGCAGTTTTACCTCGCAAAGTTTTGTTGAATATTTTTGAGATGTGCTGCTGCTGCTTCTCCCATTTTACTCAACCTGCTGCATTAACAAACTTTTCCGTACAATATGGAGTACCCTTAAGTAAATACAATGTAAAGAGTTGTGAAAAATGAAGCAGTCAATTAATCGACAACATATTATATTATTATTTCAGCTTGTACAGGAAACGTATCCACATTTTTTTTACGTTCTTTGCTATCTGCTGCGGAGAAAACGATAAAAAAATGGCGTATAATCTGTTCAACTGCATTCTTTTTCAATTTGTATGTACTCAGAAGAGAAAGATAAACATAAAAATGTGCATATGTGTTAGTGCTGCCCGAAATCGTGTGAGTGTATTGGTGAACCCATCAGCCCGTTCTTGCATGGATATAATCTATTATCATAATGCTGGTTAGTTTCTTCTGAATCCTATTCTGCAAATGTAAAATTTTTTTGGAGAGTAGAACACCCTACTCCTTCATTTTTCACCGAGACCTCATAAATATTGCGATTTGGTCTATCAAAAATTGTTCAGTATCGTTCTAATCTACTCGGGTCTAGAAGTTGTCTTCAATTACAATTTTGTGTTGTTATTCATTAATATTCGGATTTACTATATAAAATATTTACCTTCAACATTTAGTTATTTATTGTGTCCATTCTGTTCATTTAAAATTAATTTTTGCTTACTCATTGTACATTTCATTTTTCTTTTGATTCTATAACAATGTGACTGCTTCTAAACAATTATTTTTTTATCATATCGGCCAGCCATTTTTTTCACAGGAAAAATAGAAATCAACTACCAAAATCACGTTACGCTATGAAAGTAACTAACGTTGTACGTTATACTCTTTGAAGAGCGGCCAGATTACAAAATGTGACTTACTATTCATTTACAATTATATGGCAACATCTTTGAATAAATTTGTGGCCAGTACTCAGATAAGTGCATAAAATTGTTGATGAAATTATAAAAACTTATTTTTAGGCCAGAAAATGTATACTAAATTGTTAGTTACTTCGTTACTGCTTCTTTATGCTCAAATATCAAACGGTTAGAAAAATTTAACACAACGTTCGTCGAGTTCGTTTTATTGAAGTCTTTTGTTTTATCGCTTATGGTAGCTAAACATGGGCTTTGGTGAATCATCTTATTACATTCAATAATTCCTAAAAATCTACATACTTACAAACATACAACCTGAACAGTTGTTTTACTTTTACTTTTACAAATACCAGTAAACGGCACTCATAAACGTGAAATTATATTTCCAGGGCTGCTTCGACGCTGTTATCAATGCCGATCTAGAGGTGATCTGGGCAGTTGCAAAGATCCCTTTACATTTAATGCAACTGATGTTGAAAGTGAGCCTGGTGTATCAGCTGTGCCTTGTGCATCTGGATGGTGTGGCAAGGTGATCGAAGGCGGAGGTGCATATGCTACAGATGGTAAAATGGATGTTTTATAGCTTAAAGCTTTTTTATTCATATCAATGTCATTTTCTTAAGATTATGATCAAGCAATTCAGAGGATGTGTGTTCAACGTGGTCCAGATGACAATCAAGATCGCTGTGCCAATACAGTATATAATTATAAAAAAGTGTACATGTGTTTTTGTCAGGGAGATTTATGCAATACAGGTTCATACACTAGTGGAAACCTGCTTCGCTTTATTATGGTCGCTTTTTTATGTAGTTATATACATAGCTCAATGCCGTTGGTACATTTTTCATAATTCACCAGTAAATTTTTTCAAAAATAAAAAAAATAGAAGAGATATTGAGAACCATATATTTGATTGAAGTCTAACCAGCTATCATAGGTAATGAATGTACATATCTATTCATATATGTATAAGAGCAATCAAATTTTTCAGAAATCAAAGATTCGAGTGGCAGTTTTTTAAATATGTAGTTGATGGGACACTTTAATTAATTAAACAATTTTAAGTGATATACATTATTCAAATTGCTTCACTTAAAATTTGCTTTGAATTATTTTAAAGATGATATTAGCGCGAAACCTTTTTAGAACAAAGCGAAACTCTAAAGTGAATCAACTTTCAACATGTTTATCTTAATAATTGAAATTTGTAATGTAGATAGGCGTTAATTAAGATGGCATTATTGCATATAATAGTAATTTGATTATAATTTTTACAGCCCTAATATATGTAAATAAGTATAAAAAAAAAACTATATTTAAATTTTGTAAATATGAAATTCTGAGATATATCAAATATAAAAAATAATGTTATATTTCAATTAACATAATAATCATGGAAACGAAACTTATTTATAGAATGGTAAGAAAATATAATTTTCTTTTGAAATTAATTAAGTTACTATCCAGAACTGTCATTCTCCTGATCACTTTTAATAGTATTAACAATATTGAATAAATTTCGCATTTGTAATTTGTACATTTTGCTCTCATGTTGCAGGCTGGCTCGTCGATTCTTTTCTTGAGCGAGTTTTTTTTCCAACTCCTGTGCAACGCTCTGCAGTTCATCTACTTTATTATAAAAACAAAGAAATTAAAATTACTAATAATCAAGTTCAAATATATGTATTCAGCCTTACCTTTGTTAAAAATGCTTGCATTTTGACGTTTACAGGCAGGACATAATTTTGGAAGATTCTTCTTCGAAACTAAATCAGATTTATGACCAGATATTTCTGCAGTCTCCTCAATATGACACATTTGATGGTAATATCCGTTACATTCAGAACACATATCAAAACAATCTAAAATCATAAACCAGTCAAGTATATAAAAATCTTGAAATATATTATGTCTACTTCGCATACCATCACTTTTAAAGCACTCATTGCAACGCCGTTTTTCATCTGGGGAACTTGAACTGGAACGCGATAGTGATGTAGTTTCATTCTTCTCAACAACAACCCGTTTCGGTCGTTTCGACTGTAAGACACGTTTTACTTGAGGTGAGAGCAAAAATGTTTTTCGCTTCTTTTCTGGAGGTGGATAGCTACCATACTAAAATAAAAACTAATTAATTATTATTAAGTGTAAAAGAGATATATATACATATATATGATTGAATGACGGCTATAAATAATTTGATGTATGCATGTACATTATAAACACAAAATCCATTTACCTCAATACGTCCGTAATGAAAATCAGCTCTTTCATTATTGTATACAGTACGACGTTTACGTTTTGACCTCCGTTGTTGCATTTGGACCAGTACAGTAGGAGTATAAAGTTGAAAGATACGTAAGAACATTTCTTGTCCATAATGCAGAGGTAGAGTGCGTTCTTCACCTGGTTCAGAGAAGCTTTTATGAGGTTGAGGGACTGGAAGATGTTCCGGATTAGAATCATCAGAAGATGAATTTATTTCAGAGGCATTTTCAACCAAGACTGCACTGCTGGCATTTCTGGCTGACCTTGTTCTAATTTCATATTTTTTTGCAGAATGTATTACTGCTTCATTAGAAATCTTGGGCTCAACTTCTGATATAGTAGGGGCAATAGAGCGCCCAAACACGTTAGCCGTCGTCTTTGCAGCCATATTTTCAGTCCGCGCTTTATTGAGAGCTTGCCTCAAATTTAAGCGACTAATTTTAACGTTTTTAGATACGGGAAAATCTATTACAGGTTCATCTTTAATTTCTACAGGCACTTCAAAGTCTTTCGGTGGTTCATCGCTACCCTTTTCTTCGACGAGATGCATTTGAAGGAACTTGGACGCGTCAGGAAATCCTTCACTGGAAACATTTCCAAAATTGCCTATCAGCCTTTGCGAAATTGGTTTTAATAAAGACATTTGCGACAAACTGCTTGACATTCCGAGAGAACCTTGATATGAATATGTACCTTCCATTGTTTGATTTACATCGAATACGTTATGCTTAGGTTCATTTATATCCCATTCCGTATCCATCTTTTCATTAGTGGGAGAAATTAAATTGGTGTCTTCATCAGAATCTTCAATTTCATAAACGATCTTTTCTTTTTGTATCTCGAAGTATTTTTCGATTAATTTTTGTTCTGTATTTCTATATAGGACTGATACGGGTAATATTTCAATTGTCGTATCATTTATTCTTGGAACTACAGATTTAGATATCATAGAATTAATTGCTTCATAATCGATTAAAACATCATTTCTATTTAACATTTTTTTAAATTCGTCAACTATTCGACGCACTCGTAAAAACAAGAAATGCTGCTCGGCATTTATTTCGTAAATTTCCGATTCAATTTCATCCAAAATACGTTGTTTTTGAGCAGGATCCTAAAAAAAATTATCATCCAAAATACTTTGAAAATGAACATTGTTCCACTTATAATTACCCTATCATAAGTAATTATATACTATTTCATTACAAATTGTTTTAAATCGTATATATGAAATATTAAACATTATTACTTACTGCATTTTCCTCCTGTTCAAATACGTCAATCACCATCTAAAAAAAAGGACTACATGTTACGACAGTTTTAAACAAATTTATTTATGATGAGCTAGGTAATGTACGAAGTTATATGATCAATGTTAATCGATATTTGGGTATACCTGGTGCACTTTAAGATGAGCCTTTAATGAGCGCTGACAATAAACTATATCATTTTTTAATTCTTTTGGAAATTTGAAAAAATTGTCCAAATAGTACTGGAAAACACGAGATTTCATGGCCATCTTTTCAGCGAAACTTCGGAGATCAAAATTAAGTGATGAGCATCCGTGAAGTAAGTAAAAGAAATCCAAAGCGTGTTAACTTCGATATAAACACTTTTTCGAAATTTAAAATTGATTGCCAAAATGCTATCTATTGCTGTGTTTAGTTCAGATTAGTACTCCAATGTATTTTCCCTTCCCAACGGCTCCAGAGAATGTGGAATAACAAGAAAGCCCGATTGCGAACAGAATGTCGATTGCCAGAATCGACAGTTTCGTATCGATTTTTAGAGTGGAGGTTTTCAGAGTTGCACATATACCAAAGCGAATTCACATAATGCAACAACGTGAACGTAAGACAAAAAGTATATGTATGTTATGTTGCAACTACCCATTTTACTTACCATCCGTCCATAACAGGCAACGTCACGAGCGAGATCCATACACATTTGTTGACGTGGCTGAGAGCGGCGAAATGTTACCAGCTGCCAGTGTGTTTGCACACTTCTGAACAAATTCATAATTTTCGCCAACGAATTTCATAATTTATGAGTTCGAATATAAAGGCAAATTAAATATACATGATCTATATGGTAACAAATAATTTCATTTCTATTGAAAAAAAAATACGTATTATCTTCGATGCGGGACAACCGTCACTAACGGCATGGGCAAGCAGTGGCAACTTTGTGCTTACAAGGCACTCTCATTAGATAGGTTTCTATGGACGGCTGGTGCGGCTGGTACGTGCAACCTAATGCTGCAACTACACATTTTACTTACCAGCCGTCCATAACTGGCGACGAAATGGCGAGATACAAACACGAGTTATCGACGCTGCTGAGAGCGCTGAAATGTTGCCAGCTGCCTCTGTGTTTGCACAGTTTTGAACAAATTCATAATTTTCGTCAACAAATTTCATAATTTATTTGCTTGAACATAAACACAAGGCAAATGTACATAATCTATATAGTAACAAATAATTAGTTACGCATTTATTTTTCATTTCTTTTGAACAAAACTATGCATTTTCTTCGATTATTTAATGTTACTTTAAGAAAGCCTATACTGGCAACCTTGTATAGCAACGAAAAATGAGCCGAGCCGGTTATACGGAAAAAATCAAATCTTCGTTGGTTTCTGCGGAACAACCGTCACTAACGGCATGGGCAAGCAGTGACAACTTTGTGTTTACATGGCGCTCTCACAAAATAGGTTACTATGGACGCCTGGTATGTGCGTTGGGTAGTTGCAGCATTACTTGTGCTTTCGTGTAAGCAAAATGTCGAAAACAAATTTATATTAGCGTTGCAGCGTGTATAAAAAATGTCAAAAACTTGCTTTGCACAATGATTCAAAGCTACATTTTTTCACGATAGCAAAAAACTTATACCAATAAGAAGGGTAAGGAACTGTGAACTGTTCTTTGAGGATAAGCTTAATTTCGTAAAAAAAAAGTGGTATCAAAAGAATTGGGGTGTCTCACAAACCACCAATTTATAGATTCTGAGATATTAGCGAATTCGGGTGAGTTCCAAAACATCATTTGCAAAGCAACTATACATTGTCACGCATTTCAAATGCAACTGTGCAAACATTAAAGATGTATCATATTCCAAAATGCATCGGTAAAATTATTGACCTGCAAACAAAGGCAAACTGGGCATCGCTAAGGTCTGTAATGCTTTAATTTATTATAAGTTCCTAACAACAATAACCGACGTCGGAGAGCCTGTTTTTCACACTAATTATTTTTTTTCAAACATAACATTACTTATTTTTTATCTGTTTCAATAACAGCATATTTGCACAAAAAGCGTTCCAAAATTTTAGAGTGTGCAAAGTACTATTGTAAGGCAAATTTTTGGAGTGCAAGGTTGTATTTTAATGATGCGGTTTCACAACCGCACGTTGACGTTTTGGAACTCGCCCCACTCTTCTTAAATATTAACGATACTGAAAGAGGGCATTAATGAGTAAAGATGAAAAATTTATGGAAGATTTGTTTTTTTGTTTTTGCACAGCAACGCGCCTGTCCACATGATTTGCGTTGTTTAGGATCGTAAAAGGAAATGAAAAAAGGACGGTGGGTAAAATAGTTTTCCATCGATGATGTAGTCAAAGAGAAAGTCATTAAATAAAACATATTTTCCTACCCATCTTGCGAATATATATAGTATTCATAATATTCACGTTCGCTCAGACTATCGGTATGTTTTTTAATTGTTGAGTGTAGATGTGGTGTAAATTAAATACATCGACTGGCCGATATTCCGTCTCACATTACTAGGTGAAATTGTCAAGTAGAAAATATTGATGTTGATTTGCGTAAGGTTAAATTGCTGTGAATAGCTTTACACCTTCCAGGGCGAATTTTCAGTTAACATTTTGCCGCGGCTATACTCTCGCAATTAAAGTAAAGTTATGAGGGTCAATTTTATTGGACTTTAATTTATGCATCATTTTATACTACATTATTCCTTAACCTAGAAAATTACATAATTTGACACCTCTATTTAAAATGTGTTGTTTCATTTATAGATAAAAATGTCTTTTGTGAGAAATGTGCGTTATGTCGCTGCGCGTAGCACTCACTTCATGCAGAAACGTAGCTTTGCTGATGAAATGAAACTTACTTTTGCTGCTGCAAATCAAACATTTTACGACCAAGCAGAAGTTCGCCAAATTGATGTTCCATCGTTTAGTGGAAGTTTTGGCATTCTTGCAAAGCATGTACCAACTTTAGGTAAAAATTATGCCATCAAGGAGAGCTCATTTTCACACTGATTAAAAGAATGCGCATAGTTGTGGGAATACAAGGATACACATTTATTATTTATTAATATCACTTTTTCAGCTGTTTTGAAACCCGGAGTAGTTCAAGTTATTGAAAACGACGGAAAGACTTCAAAATATTTTGTATCCAGTGGCTCAATAACAGTAAATGAAGATTCTTCCGTTCAGGTGTTGGCTGAAGAAGCGCATAAAGTTGAGGATATTGATACTTCAGAAGCTAAGCAACTTTTATCACAGTATCAATCGAAATTGAGTTCGGCAACAAGTGAAGAAGTAATATCTCTTTGTCTATATATTTGGATTTACAATACAATTTTTTTTTGCAGGCTAAAGCTGAAGCTGCCATTGCTATCGAGTGTGCCGAAGCACTAATCCGAGCTGCTGAGTAGATAAGCTTTGTCCATTCACACTCCTGATTGTTACAACATTGGCTTAATTAAAAGTAAATGTTCGACAAATAGAATAAAAAATGTAAAGATAAAGATTTTTCTTTTTATTCGCATTATATATTTAAAACATCGTATCGTGTCTGACTATATTAAAATGAATATTTTGAAGGTACATGTGGACTGGTTTGAAATAAGTAAAATATATCTTAAATTCACTTTAACCATATGTTGCCCTATGTCCTAGATAGAACAAAGTCAACATAGTGGTTACTTTTTTGACCGAAAGTCCTATGCACCGCTGAAGTGGATCCAAAAATAAATGAACGCTCGCAGCCTGAATCGATTAAGGATTATGCAACATAAACTGTTCCACGATGTTGAATGTTTACACAAGCTGTTCCTAGTAAAATTCTTTTTTTCGTACTCTTAAAACACTGCTGAGCTAATTTGTTTATTAATGAATGCATTTCTGTCCGAAGGTGCTTGCTGGACTAGATGTGTAAGAAGCATGGAAAGATGTCACTAGTGATTAATCGGCTTTTACCACTTCAGACAGAGTTTATTTTTTGTATGACATTTCATCGCCCAGACGGTGATTGTTTTTGAAATAGAATTGAAAGTAATATGCATATGTTGGGTGGTGGTTTGACTCGGAGAACGCTATAAACTGAAAAGTCCATCCATTTTCACATCGATCATGTATTCCTTCGTCAAACCAGTCAATCTTTCTATAGCAGCGGTTCGAGCCCCCAAAACCAGTTTCATTTATTCGGTAATCGATTTCTCCTTCTCGTCTCCCATTCGTAATTTCACAATGAAGGCCAGCCTTTCACAAATTGCATCGCAGATTTCATAACTGAGCTAAGCTCGAGAGAATGCAGCGCGAGCTCCTGAACAAGGTGAAGAAAATTGAAAGACATCTTCGGAACATTCGAAAGGTTAAAAATAGAATATGGAGTAGGTATGCGAATCCAAAGTCAAGGTTTGCTGAAACTGTCTCGTATGCTCACACTCATTAAAAGGACCCAGCGACAATAAGATAAGCTCCACCAGACAGGAGGGAAAGTTGAGGAAGTTTGCCCCATGAGGATAACAAGGTTGTAACGTGGAAAGCCATTACAGGGAGCATGACAGCATTGCATATTTTCATCGTAGGGTAGACTGTCATAGTTGTTGTGAACTTTCTCCTTGTTCAAAGAATGAACACTGATTTAAAGAAAAGAGTTTCACAAGAATGATAAGGCAATAAAATCGAAGAAGTTTAATTAAGGATATCTGGCGTGGCTTTCTAATTCCAAATGAATGATGGTTCCCAAATTTGCAGTGCGATTTGGAAGGTCGGTCCTTATATGATAATCAGACTTTTTAAGCGACATAGTGCATCGAATCCAGACCGTTGCGAGACCGATAAAGAAGATATAAGTGGTCCACCTGGAAAGACTTACAGCATTTGGGAAAAGTGTATGTGATTGAGACGGTCAGATTTAGGTAGATGCATAAACCATGTAGCTCTGCCCAGATGGAGGAGCCGAGTGGTTAGCATTGCGTACTACCATTCGGAAGGCCCGGGATCATGTTATATGAAATGTTATGTTATAGAAAATTAATTTAAATAAATCATTAAGTAAAATTTTCCCATTGTGGTCGTCCCTCGACAGGAAAGTCCTTCATAAAAATCCGTCAGTCGTTCTGAGACGGTTTAGCCGTCGGTACAAATTTAAACCTGTACGATGTCGTTTTCATCAGACTGCCTTTACAGGGAAGCGGGATCCAATGCCTCCTACTCAGCGATGCTAAAATCCAACGCTAATGCTACGTAATCATCGTCACAAAACGAATTATCCAAAATAGTACACATTTTTTTAAATTTAACAATCATTGCATTTATTCACATGTATTAAGAATTCACAATCAAAAATTTGCGAGTTAGACGTTAGTTCTAAATACATACAAATATACATACTCCATATCTATTAACATAGGAAAATTCAATATAAAAGTTATGGGAAATTCAAAAAATGTTTAATTTTTTTAGAAAATGTATGCATGCTTATATTTAAGCCAAATTATTTTTTTCGGGTTTTTGATATAACATTGTTATATATACATATGTACATACGCATGTATGTATGAATGTGAATATGCATGTGCTTAATAAAATTAATTTCATTTAGTCAACTTATATTTTTCAAAATATTTATTGTCCTTTAACATTGAAACTTATTTCCATTTCCTTGTACGTAGTTTTTCTTATAACTTACTTTAGAAGCTTGGTTGTATCTAGCAAAGGACTTTGTTTCTTTTTAAAGCTTAACATTTGTTTCAACTTAATAATAGCTTCACCAGGATTTAGTCCCTTTGGACAAGTATTAGTGCAATTAAGTATAGTATGACAACGATAAAGGCTGTAGGGATCACTTATCTGTTTCAAGCGTTCATCTGTATTGTTATCGCGCGAGTCTACAACCCATCGAAATACTTGCATTAAAACGGCTGGTCCCAAGTATCTATCGCCATTCCACCAATAGGAGGGGCACGAGGAAGTACAACAAGCACAAAGGATACATTCATATAATCCATCCAATTTTTTCCTATCATTAACGTGTTGTAAATATTGTGCTTTTCCTGTTGAGCTTTTAGTAGTATTCCTACGTTGTAACCATGGTTTTATAGAGCTGTACTGTGCATAGAAGTGACCCAAATCTGGAACGAGATCCCTGACAACATACATATGCGGAAGTGGGTAAAGCTTTAATACTCGTGAGGGATTTCTGTCAATTTTACTCGTACAAGCCAAAGCATTAATTCCCCCGATATTCATAGCACATGATCCACAGATTCCTTCACGACACGAACGTCTAAAAGTCAAAGTTTGGTCCATTTCGTTTTTTATTTTAATGATGGCGTCCAGAACCATTACTCCGCATTTCCGTAGATCTATACGGTAACTTTGAAGTCTCGGTTTTTCGCCAGGCTGCCATCGATAAATTTGAATTGTTTTCATAAGGGGTGCATCTTTACCTGTAACTGGTACAGCCAAAGATTTCGCTTTATCTACATTTGTTTGCGTCTTTAAGGATTCCCTTGGTGTTTTGGAAGAATCCTTTATCAAAGTGCGGATATTCATAAGATTTTTAAATTTTCGTGAACTCATAGTTTAGAAAAGAAAATATATGTACATTTTTATGTATGTATTTAATAAATTAAACTTCAAATCATTCAATACATTTAGGCAATAGATGGATTGCCTGCTCAAAATTTTATTCAGTCCTAGCAAGTGTTAAAGGCCGCATTTTCTCAATCTTCATTTAGCTCATTTGAATAAAAAACGTTTGATTATTGACTATGTAAATATTTTACTCACTAATTTAATTTTCAGTCACAGTAGATACGCTTTTATGTAAATGGTTTCTTGGTATGCAAATACATATTTCCAGTGATATTTTGAGATAAAAAAACATGGATACATATGTAGATACAAGGAAAATTTCTTACATTTAAAGAGAATTACATACATATGTTATTACAAGATAAAAGCCATATACATATAAGAAATGATCAAAGCATCTACAGCTGTTGACGACTAATTAGAAACGCTCTCTTATTTTAAGTGCTCGTTGAGCATAATAATTCAATGTGCAAATTAACCGTTATATTTTCTTAAAAACGACACTTGCATTGTTTTTGCTACTCTATCTACTTCTCAATGTCTCCAGATTTGTAGTTGTAAATTTCAAGAACTATTATTTCTTTCCCACTTTGTGGAAGCATTACTTGGGATAAACTAATTTAAGTGCGACAGTTAATTAGAAGCGATTGTTCAATAGTAACATAGGCATAACGTTGTGTTGTTTTAGTGATGATATTACTAACTAAAAGTAAACATATTATCTTAATATCATTATTTTTTTCTGATAAATATTCTCGTTTCTAATTAGATGTCGCACTCAATTCATGGATTTCACATGTTTGTAAAAAAAAATATCTAAAAGTGAATTTTGAATAAATTTCTTAAAATATGATTTCAAGTTTTGTATATGTTTAAATAAAATTAGAAAACAAATTATGAAAATGCGTGATTTGATAGGCAAAAAGTTCAATTTGAAATAAGCATCGTTTCTAATTAGCTGTCAACAGCTGTGAATGGTGGTATTGTTGCATGCGTGTAAATATTTTATAATTTCAAACAATTTGTGAGTAAATAATCGCACTTATTTCTATTATGTATTCTTAAATGCCGAAAAAAATAAGCTGCTTATGAAGTACAGAGAATTTAAAAAAAAAATAGATTTAACAACTTTTTGAACTTAACAAATATCGAAGTAAAGAACTGGTAAATTGTTTACATTTTTTGTTTTAGGGTCTGGGCCCAAAGGGAGTAAAAAATAATCTATTATTATATAAAAGGGCATACAATGTCCTCACATAAAATTCAAAGATGGGGATCAATTTTTTTGTATATACAAATATATGTATTTACACACGCATTCACATATGTACACATTTACATACGCTTACTCTTTTTTATCATCAGAATCTTTGTACCAATCCTCACAGCCTGGAACGTTTTCAGGGGCGTCGCACATTTCCGTTTCTTCGTTATAAACTTCGCCTAATTGGCAAGCGAGGTCACGGGGATCCTCTCCATTTAAACATACGTGGAATTTTTGACAATCTGTAGGATGGGGAAACTTGGGATGTGTAACTACTTGACCTTTATCATCATTCTTTGGACGATCCGTAGGACACACAAAACCACTGGGAGATTTTTCTAAAATGATAAAAAGTATTAGCTTTAAAAAAGTGGGAAAATGTATTGTTATATGCGAATGGTAATGGGTTTCTTGAAGAACAGCCGAAAAAGAGATGACCTACTGGTTGAGCTATTTAAAATGCAGTTGGAAGTACTGCCAAAATGCATGCATCAGCTTCTTTGAAAAATATGGAGCCATGAATGCATCATATTAAGTCTCAGTGTGGTCCTAGTCGAGAGGATTCAAAAAAACTTAGAAAACATTCGTGGGAAATGGACCACTACAGACTTTTTAAATATTTGTTTAATGTTATTTATAGGGAAATTAATTAATTATTTTCCATGTCAATACACTAAGTATTTTTAACATAACAAAGAAGGCAATCAGAATAATCGTATAACATACATATGTATGTATATTTGTGTGAATATTTGTGCAATCATACATATAGTACACAAATAAAAGTAAAAACCTATTATAAAAGTTAATTCTTGAAGAACAATTATTGTCAACAATCTATGAAAGGCTCATTTTGCCCCCCATACTTGATCTCTAGATCTAGCTTATTCCTATCATTTATAAAAAGGGACCGTATGCCAGTAGAATGGATGACAAAAGAACATAAACAATAGATGAAGGACCAAAGAGTTAAAAAAAACAGCAGTTTATTTCCTTTCATCATACCGCGAAAAAGAAAAGAGTAAAATTTAGAATTGTTCTTTTTCTCTTCTTTACCACGGTGTTGCTATTTTAGCTTTTTGCCTTCTACTCGTAATTTTAGCTCTTCTTTTCGTCGTTCATCACTTTATATTAAATTTTTTAAATCATCATGAGAAAGATGAAAAGGTAAATAAAAAAGGTAAAGTATATAATGAGTTTGAAAAGTATTGTGCGTAGATTACAAAATGTTTTATTTTTTTTTTTTCAAATACAAAGTACGAGTATTTACTTACTTTCAAAGGCTTTATTTTCTTATAAGCATGAGAGAACAAATAGCTAAAAAAATTTTTGAGCCCAAATTAAACAAGCACAGTCATAAGCATTTAAAAGCTGATTATAATTAAGTGAAACTATACATTTTTACAATCGCAATTATTTAACTTACTCTGTGCAGCTCCGCATCCTTCGCGTTTCGCAGTATCAGGCCAAACACAGGTTCCTCCAAATTCATCAAAGTGCAGACCAACAGTACACTTTGTTTCTAGTGCGTCTCCATCAATACAATTGTAAAAAATATTGCATACAGAAGAATCGGGATGTGCGAAGAATCCATTTTTACGGGGACAAAACTTTGAGGGTTTTGGCTCTTCTACAATTTAAAAATATAAAAATATTTAATAAATTTAAATAAAAAGTATAATCTACGAGTATGAATATATTTTCAATATTACAACGTCTATTTTAAGAGTTATATTGTAACTTAAAAAGCTGTGTATGTGTCTTTCAAATCCAAAATTAACTTCAGTAGAAAAAATAGTTAAACACTTACGCAATTCAGTTCGATCTCCACAGTCAACATTAAAGGGCTGATCGCATTTATTAATATGTCTGTTAAGAGGATCAAATACTAGACCGTCGGGACAGAGTTTTTCTTTTGCCACACCATCTTCACATTGATAATATTTATCACACTGTACGTCATCGGGGTATTCTCCATCTGCTTTTGGACATTGAAATGCCCCTTAAATAAGAAATAATATATTATTTTTAAATAAACTATCTGAAGAATTAAAGTAATTGTATGTATACGGAATTACAGGAGCGTGGTGTTAAACAGCATCCACTAAAATGTTATTTTCTCTATTAATAAACCCTAAAAAGATAAATTATAATGAGCCTATCCGATTAACTTAAATGACTAATATGTATACAAATATTTGCGTAATTAACAATATGTTACAATAAGTAGCAATTTGTCGAATTTTTATTGTAATTGGTATTGCAAAGAATGAAGACCAAAAAAAAAAAGAAACACAATTAAGCATCATCATCAAAATGTTAGGTTATTATTAGTAAGTGGGTCACTTTTTCGATGCTCAAAGTGACTCAAGAAAATTTCATTTTAAATGCCTCGAAGAACTATAGAGAAAAAAAAATATTTTTTTTTTTCGCACAAACTCCTCTAATTTCTTGGGTATTCTTATTGTTTGGCCGGAGGCTATTCCGAATTGCTAATGCAAGTTTGATACACACTTTGGCACTGAAATGGTATTCAGGCGAGCTTTTTCCAAGAGTTGTGTGATTTGATATTCTTATTTTTTTGTGTGAATAATAAGCCTGTATGAAAATTCTAATGATATTTAATGAGAAATAGTTATTTTCACATAAAATATATTATTAAACTCTACGCCCATATAAATAATGGGACCCGTCCATTGTCTTTACCCGACGTCACAACCATTCAAGCGACCAGGAATTGGATGGTGCAAAGCAATTAAAATCCTAAATATTCTAGCTAATATTAATCCACTGCAAATAATGAACACTGCCGTATCCCTTCACTTGAAATTGCATTTTTACAGAAACCAACCAAACCAGAAACCAATAAGCCCAAACATGGGTAATTCACTTTTCTAATATATGAAAACCCCTATAAGATTCCAAAATATTCATTAATTAGCACATGTGCATGCTATAGGCCAGACGGAGTTTGAACTTTGTCAAAACAGACAAATTTTTTATATAACATCTGAAAAAATCTCTGTTGTGGTAATTGTTACCAATTTTTACTGAACCGCGTGAGACAAAAACCCAGTCGTTGCTGGCTAATTCTTACTGGGATTTCTCACCGAGCAGAGCTAATATTGTTTTTAATTCAGTCGTTCTTCGAAACAAAAAATTTGCAAGTTTATATCCGAACATTTTTGATATATCTAACATGAAAATAATTATAACATCTAATATATAAAATCTTCGTGTCACAGTGTTAGACACGATAATCCTCCGAAATGGCTTGACCAAATTTACTGAAATTGTATGTGAATATTCAGTGGGTCTGATAACAACATGTAATTTGATACATAGGTAGCGTTTTGTTTAGTTTAGCAGGAACATTACTTTTGTTTCCAGAAATAGTACCAAGGACCGATCTATTAGAAAAAATCGTTTCAATGGTTTGGACTAATGTATAAAAATTTTCGAAAGTGGTATCATTCGTTGTCTTAAGTTGAGGCCTTGGTCGAAGGCACGTACGTGAGTATACGGGATCTGTTTTCTTGCATTTACGTGCGTAAAAGCCGAATAATTCCATAGCATGCGCTATGACGATTGTCGTTTGAATGAATTATGCAGAATAGATAAATTGCACGCAAGTGAGGGAAAAAATAACTCTCAAAACGAGACATGTGGTTAATTTTTAGTACATACGCTTGGTGAGAAACCCTTATGTTGAAAACAATTTATAGTTTTTCCTGAATTGATAACGGCTGGACCGAAATAAAATTTAACTTTATTAGGAGAATCTCGATTGGCCGATTCATGCGAGATAATTTTAGTTACGATTTAATTTGTTGCTAGCTTATCATTTAATTAATAATCTCATTTATGGTTCAATTTGGTTGATTTTTGGAAATCGCTTAGTTTAATTTAAGTAATTTTATGAGGATTGCCTATGGGCGGGTGTTGACATACCATCTGCTGATCAAGTTCATTTAGACAATTCACATCCAGATTTGAACTATCTACTTATACTTTATTACCACTGTTAATGTAAATAATATAAAGCCATATAATTAGGGCAAGACGAAGTTCGCTGGGTCTGTTGATAAAGCAGTTGTGCGTACATAAAATATATTGATATATACACACAAACATATGTGAATAGTATAAATGCAAAAAGCTTAAGAAACTTACATTTGCGTCTACAATACAGGTTTTTTAAGTAGATGTTAAAATATATGTATTAATTAATATATTCGTTTATGCCAATATAAATATTTTTACGATGGATATTATGCTAATATATTCAATGCATATATGCTTTTGTACATTTATTATAAAGCTTATATATGATAGATTTTGACTATATTTGTTGCCGGGTGAAGTGAGGACGATCAAACTAGTTTGTGACTTTAAAAATAGATTTCAGTTTCAACATCAATGTGTTTGATACAATCCATTCAAGGTTACGTGAGTAGTGCAATTTTAATTTTATTCAGATATAATAAGTTAATATCATTTTCATTTCGTTGAATTCGGATTATATAAATATTTATCTTTCGAGAATGATATCTTCAAACTTTTTTAATAAGCGCCTTTATGATATAATGAATAATTGTTTATTCCGAATATCGAACTATATGTTTAAATATCTTACTTTCTACTTATCTTTCATTATATTAGAATTTAAAAAGTAAAGTATGAAAATGAGATGATGTTTTCTTATTTACTTACCATGTGCTGCAAAACAAAGAGAAAGAGTACCAAGTATCAAACACAAAGAGTTAACTTTCATTTTGATATATGTATATATTTTGACTTTTTCACCAAAAATAATATTCACTGTTCGAAAAGCAGTGTGCACTGTACGGCAATTGAATATAAACTATATTTCTTTGTCCACGAAACCAACTTTTGAAGACTTGCATCAGACTTGTTAAAGTTTAAACCAGTCTTCGCTCTTTCTCAACTTGAGTGTAGTGTGGCTAAACAACTTTAAAATCCAGTTTGTTAAGAAAATGAACAAAGTGTTAGTACGTAAGCAAACATCTTCGATAATTGCCAATATATGTACATATTCACTCAATGGCTACCATTAAAAAATTTGGCGAACTATATAGATATCTATATATTTTATATATGCATATGTATGTATTTGTATAATTTCCCTTGCGATAAGAGGGCTACCATTTCGATTTTAAATATGCATTGGAATAAATACATAGATGTACATATGTCAAATACATACGTATGTATACTTCTTATAAAATATGTAAATAGATAAAAAAAAATATATAACTGTACTACTATAGTCCACTGAGTAGTAGTATATGGTACGTATTCGTGGGTAATGATTTCGATTCCAGTCTGAGCGAATGTTTGGATGTTGACCAATTAGCCATAAAAGTGGCGCTCGTTTATTTAGCAATCGTTTCCTCATTTATACATGTGTGATTTGCGACTTTCATTTGAATCTAAGTACTGTTGGGGCAAAGTATTTGTGAAATCCTTCTAATGATACTCCTCCGATGAACAAACAGACGAATAGGACTAACTAATTAACACTTTGCGCAGCGTTGGCTTAGTAGTTACCAGTGCGTACGGACTGTGATGTGCTTTGACCAAAGCAGTATGTATAATTATAGAAAAATAATTTAAACAATTTTTTTGTTGTATTTCTTTTATGAAATAAAATCTCTTCATAAAAATCCATCAATCGTTGTGAGGTAGCTCAGAATAAGCTGTAGGTCTCTACATTTCTAGGAGGAGCTCAGCCGTAAATCGCTTCAGCGCTTAATTACCGTTGCGGCATCAGCCTTTAATTGTAAAAAATTAAATACCATTGGAATACCAATCAAAGGTTATTTGAAAGCAATAAGAGAAGTTCATTTTAAAAACATCTCCAATGAACAAATAATAGTAATAGTTCTGTTAGGTGACTTGGCAATAACAATTTTTACTGAATGGTGTTCGTTGAGTCAAAAACTCAGTAAAATTACAATAGTAACGAGAGCGCCATTTTTACATTTGGTTTGAAAAAAATTGTATTATTCAGGGGTGTTACAGAAACCGACACAAAATTGCTTATTTATCGGAATTGAAAATCAATAGCTGTTTGAAAAAGTGTTATGAAACCGACTTGATTTTGCATTTTTCGAAGATAAGCAAAACCGATATTCGAATCATCTGTCTTTACATTTGTGCAAAAAATCCAGCAATTCAATTTAATTTTTGTACTGGTATTGACACATTTGTGATTATTAAAAATAAAATGACTTCGGCAGTAATAGCATTTTTGGAGATAGAAGGATCGGGGGAATAATCCAGAAAATAAAGCGCTATTTTTGTAAGGGATAATAGCAATCCCCTGGAGCTGCCAGAGTCGATGGAAGTGCAATTTGCATTCTATTTTTACATTTGTTGATACAAAATTTGATTGTACGAGTATATAGATTCCTATAACAATATCGCCTTAACAAAAAAGCTTTTGTATAAGTGCTGGATCTCATTGAAGATCAGTTAGATAGGCTGTCTCATCTATCCCATGTGTGCTCCAACTTACAGCCACACTGCGGTTTTTGGCAGATCTCTCCAATTAACGATCTGTGGAATTTAAATATCTCCTTAGCGCGACAGTATCTGTGTTTATTAAAGAAATGCTAAAGGCTTTTGAACGTTTGAATTGCTCACGCTGGATAATTTGAGGAATGAATTACAATGAAAAACGGAGAGCGGGACCATTTTTACATCAAGTACTATAATCCAGGAATTGGTGGTTGTAAAATCCATTGTTCATCACCCACATTTTTATTAAATTTCCGCTTGCAAAGAAATTTGCACACAATTCTGTCAACGAATAACTGATCGGTAAAATTCTCACATTTAAACCCATATATCGGTTTCCGTAACACTTAAAATTGAAAGAGACTCTGTTTCGAAAATGAAATGAAATCAATAATCGGAATGTGTAACCTTTTAAACATAATTTTGTCGGTTTAAATTCTGATTCAATAGTTAAGGCACTCGTTAAAAGAAAATGTGGTAGCAGGAGTGGAATCACCGTTCGCTCACAACGCAGCTTGTGTTGAGAAATTAGAAGTTTAGAAGCCATAGAATTTGTACGACGCAAGTTGATAAGTTCGAAGCAAAGTTGCTGCTACGGTCACAATGACGTAATGTAATCCTAAGCTTCCAGAAGCAACGGCGATGCACAAAATGGAATATTAGTCGCGTATAAAAGGGAAGTTAATATTGCCGGCTAACACGGCAAAATAATTCCAAACTCATTTTCGTATTTCAATCATCCTACCTGAAAATCTTAAATCTAAGCGACCAGCTGTCGCAAAGCAAGTTCTACAAAAATCTTTGTCCTTTCAGAAGACTATTGGTACCATTTGACGGCTATAAGGCATCTAGAATTTCATCATTGAAATACAATAAGCTTGAAATATTATATAACTACCGGTTTGTAACCGCTGAAGCGATCTTCCGCCGAGCTTCCTTCAATTTGAGGTTTTGCGTTTTGATGTTTTTCCAACAAATGAAAAATGAATGGACCTACAGTTTATACTAAGCCGCCTGCGAACGGCTGACAGTTTTTTATGAGGAGCTTTATTGCATATCAAATTTAGCTTAATTTTTTATTTAAATTAATATTCATAACTTTTGGATGAAGAAGGTCGCATGGGGATTTGAACCCTAGCCTTCCGAATGGCAGTACGCAATGTTAACTACTCGGCTACCGTGGCCGCTTTAAATGCAGCTAATAAGTTAAGAATGCTTTATATTGCAGTTCCCAATTTTAATAACATGCTTAACAAAATACTTAAAAGCAAAAAAAAGATAAGTTTTTCTTTTTGTTGCGATTTGATTAGGGTGTAATTGTTTGTAATCCTGCCATCATGGAGATGTTAGAAACTTTAGTGCGACATGGGGCCTTTAGGTTTGGTTAAAATAGAGGGAGGGAAAACAATGCACCGTCCTTGGATGAGACTTTCTATGAGCGTCTTGATCGATCTTAGCGAGGCCCCACTTTTATGTCGAAATTGTGTTTGACGATTTTAATGCCTAGGTGAAATATGATTGCATGAAATAAAATAATTAATCAAACTTTATAGCTGTTTTGGGCAGAAGATTTTAGTTAATAATTTAATTTTTTCAAGTGGTATATTTTTTTCAATTTATAAATTTTTATTATAGCTAACTAAACAATGACGTGTCATTCGTTCATTTTCTTCCCTGTTTGGTTTCAATTGGAAATATCAAGGGAAACTAAGTACCGCTTATAATATTGTACTTTCAATGCTGTTGCGCTATCAATCACTAGGACATCGTGATCTAACCAGCGTAGCCATTGCCTCTTGAAAATCTATGTCGAAACTGAAAATCTTAATTATTACTATTAAATCAAAATGCTGCTGAAGGCAAAGCGCCTTTCCAACCGTGGTTTTTAAAGCATATAGAGGGTGCTACGGATTTAAGCCATCTCACAATGATGAATGAAACATATATTACGAGCTTTCTGTGATACATATTGCAATAAAATAAATAGATTAGAAGAGTAGGGACCGGAGAGTGACCACATTTAATAAAACTGCTTCTTTCGTTTTGGATGTTGAAACCTATGGCATCGTAGAATACTATACACTCCGCTAGACCGAAATCTTAATGTTACTTCAAGGGATTGTGACAAATGAAATAAGCAAATTTTATTCCATTAAACTTAGTTCGTTGATTTCAACGTACGAGTATGTACTCGTACATACAGCCCTATGCAAGCTTCGATTTTGCAGCTTTTTGCAAATGGTTACTCATTTCAGTACGGCAAAGCTTTAAGTTTTTCCCTTGGAAGAGCAATAAAACTTATTCTCTTAATTTGGTTCATTCATTTAAAGTTTCTTCTTCTCGCAAATGTTGTCAAATCGCTTAAGTGTAGTCAAAAAAGTTATTGATGAATTATTATGAAATATTGGTACACTTTGTGCAATAATCAATGATAAAGAAATTTTCCTTTAAAAAAATATATATTAAAATATGACATGTCTTCTTAAAAATATTCGGCCATCAAATATAATATTAATTAATATCAAATGGTAACATTTATACCCATAAACTAAATGATGCCGAAGCCGGTAGGGCATTTGAGGTTGCCCAAAAGTATCTTCGGAAAGGACACTTTGTTTGAAATACTTTACAATCCTAAAGCAACTGCCGTAGTTGAAATAAAACACTTTGTGGCATCATGTACTGTTATTCAATTGGCTACTGTTGCTTCGGAAATTCAGTTTAAAAATTTATTTCTTTCTTCCGAAATCTGAGCACACATTATTATTGCAACTATTTTAAGAAACATAAAATCCTACCCCTAATCCACAATTTATTTACATGTGCATATATTTGACATTGCAAATACACGTGTGTACTCGTACATATGTGCATACGGGTATATATGGCCATAAGTCAATGCAGGGCTGTAGAAAAGCTTTCAATTATACGAAAATGATTAAGCTTTCGCGTTCTCTAAAGCAAAAAGAATCACTATTGTGCAATTTAGTATCTAAAAGAACATCACACGAGATTGACCAAGAAGAGTAATAAGTTCCAAAACGGATTTAGAGTTTTAAAACTAATTTCGAATTCATTATCTTTGTGAAAAAATTTTACGCGACTCATTTACGTCTTACTACCCATTAAAAGTATTTACTTACATATACATATACATATGTGTGTATATATGTATGTAAAAAATTGCTGCAAAAAAATTTAAAACGCAAAAGCACGAGAAAAATTGTTGTGTTTATAAATGAAAATAGAAAATACGTGCAAGTCAAATAAGATCGTGCTATAACAAACATTGTTTTCATTATATTTAAAGATTGAAGGAAAATATCAAATAAATCAAAATGTCTTGGAGATATACGGTACGATCATACTCGTTTGGAATTATCGACATTAACATATGTATATTTGTTTGTACATACATGCATGTAAACGTTTGTACATGTATACGTTCGGGTTTACAATCAAAACAGGCTCAATTCTTAATAAAATAAAATAAAATTCATCTTCATACATTTTCTGGCCTAAAGAACTTTTTTTTGTGATTTTTCTTTTTCCTCCATTAAAATACATTTGTTATCCTTGAATTATAAAAGCTTAGAAAAGTTTATCTATTAAGTAAACAAACAATGAAGTATGAACTTTCCGTTTACTGACTCATACACTTGTATGTATATTTGTACTTATGTACATATACACATATATATATATATATTAACATGCATTTCTGCACATACAGTTTTGTTATTTGAAATATGCATTAGTACAGTACATTGTTGTCAGTCAGTTTCAAAGTAAAAATTTTGTTAGCTTAGAGCGTTATAAGCATGGATTTATAATAGTTCGTGAAAAACCCACCTACCTAAAACCTACCACAGCTGCCTTCGAACGGCGTATGATTTTTTCTGAAACCCTCAGGATGAAGCAGTCACCACTAATTCTACAGTGGACACGTTTTACTCTCATTTTATATTATATGGTCATATGGACATTGATTGTGTTCTGAAAATGCTCATTATCCCCACTTAAAAAATATGATGCTAATACCTTTTTTTTGCCGATTACAAGCACGATTCTCCGAACATTTAAGATCACCATTTTCAACAGCACTCACTTTTTCATTTAATGTGGTGTAATCATGCAAAAGTATAAAAAATTGTAGCGTAAGCAAACGCAATCAGAAATTAAAGGTGACAAAAGAAAAATGAAAGAAGAGAACTGTCTTCGAATGAGAATGGGCACTCGGTAAAATCTAAATCTTATCATTTACAGGTTTGGTTGTAAGGTCTTGCATTCTCAACCGAGTAATCATAAACAATTACATTCGTAATTAGAAAAACTAAACTAAATTGAAAAACTATCTCTTCTCCTTCGGGCACTAATAAATTCTTTACGGAATGAGTAAAGCCATAAGATAAACCTTCTTTACGTTTTTCGAAGCCTTCTTTTGTATATATATATATGTGCTAAAATACATTTATCTTGAAATTTTGCAGTTTTTAATTAAAAATTAAAGGCAGTTATTTTTGGGAAAATTCATAATTTAAAAACATACAATTTTTCAGCCTTCCACTGACAGGTACAGCACCTATATAGGGGAGAGATACAGTCCATTATATTATCAGGTATATGTATGTAAATATGTGAAAAATGTAAAAGTCTACTAATTACCGCATGCAAATATGTAATAAGTTCCAAGTTAATTGTACAAGCTCTTTTCCTGTTATGAGCTAGTTATATGGCAGTAAATTAATTGGCAGCTCCTTTGCTGCTACGTCAAGGGATTACCAATATTACGTTAAACCTTCTAATAAAAAAAAACTATTTGCACATTATTTATACTCATCATCTTCGATCAAAATATAAAAACAAAATAACTTAAATGTATGAACTCAAACGATAACATTAATTTTTTAATATCGTTTGATATCAAATCTTTATGATATTAACTTTAAAAAATATATGGTATTCGCTATACAGCTATTACAAAAAGCGTTTTTACCAGCAGTACTTATATATTTATGTACTCACATGACAACTCCTACTGAAGTAAATCTTGATTTTAAGATTATAACTATAAACAAATTCTGCAAGAATGCAATGTGCTTACAAATATATATTATTTTAAATTTTTATAAGAAGTCATTATTTCCATGGCAGCTTTACTTGTGCACTCCCTACAACCACATTTTGGAAAGAATATGTATTCTTTCAAATTTTGGATGAGAAGCTTTGCATATTTTAATGATTTAATGATAATATTCAGAAACTAATTGAAAAATACGTATTCGCCATTCGTAGTGGTTAGCATTGTGTACTGCCTGGGTTCAAATCCTGTTACTACCAACATAAAACACATAAAAATCCTTTTCCGTGGTTTTTCAACACAATCCACGAGGTAAAAATGAGCTTCTAGGGAAAATATGCCAAGCGATATTCAGCACATTGAGCGAAGCGTATTCGCATTCAAGACCATCCTGAGGCTTCACAAATTGGACCAAGTACGCGAAATATTTAATTCCTATAAACGAAGTAGAGTTAATGGCCTATTAGGCCGTTATATATGTAAATTGATTCATAAACTGCCCAGAAGATGAGTTACTTCGCCCGAATTTCGTGCGTAATTCCAAAAAAGCAAACGGTAGATGGTATATTCTATAAATAATTTGATGTTGAGAAAAACTTCTAAATAAAGGTTTTAATAATATAACTTTCACTTGTTGACGAACATATGTTACAGTATGTATAAACAATATATATGAATGTACATACTCGTCTATATTTTGGTAGTGTTGGCCTTGAATATTTCGTTGGTTTCCACATTTACTTTATTTTGTTAGTAGTCACCTAATAAAAATAGTCCGATATTAAGAATTTTATTTATAAAAGTATTTTGGCAACGTGCCAGTAATAATATTACTCAGAACATTTGCAACGCACAGTGTCTTTTATTTGCTTACGGTATGTTATAATACAGATTTTCAACACTATTTCTAATGACTTGGAATAAGTGCAATGGAATTTCGCGTTGTCCGTTACAGTGTACCGCGCTTATTGCACGATTTCTTAACTTCTAATTGAGCATTTTGACCATGATCAACCTGACACTAAGGCTCTACGTTAACTTTAACTTTTTTTTATTGTTATTCATAAAAACGGTACAATTTATTTCTTTCCAGGAAGAGAACCAGATACCGACATATTAAAACACATATTTTTATGAATCGATTTTTACACCTTTGTGCGAAGATATCTTTTTGTATAGGCAAACTGATGCCGAAAATAGACCAGGAAGCAAGTTCGATTTGCTGAAATTTAGTAGGTTGGTTGGTTTTTTTTTTGGAAGTAGGGGATCGCAGATCAACTTGTCACTTTCACATGTTTTCCGTTAAGCTTTCCCTCAGGCCGAGGTTAAGAACTTGGGTGGACTGAAAATAGTCATTGTACTTTTTCTCTTTTATACCTAAAGACTAATATTAAACAATGGAAAATTAAAAAATATTAAAATGATTTTACAACTTGTTTATTACCTTTAACTAAAAGTTTTAAAACAATGATTGAATGTATTTATGTTTTTTAATATTTCATCATCAAAATTAACTCCTGTTATTATTTTATATTTATATAAAAGCCGCCGAGTCGATTGGAGTCAACAAGCTCAGACCAAACTACCGGCCGCCAATTACAAAGAGTTCTTCATTACTCGGTTGCACCATGTAGAAGTTTCCCCGGTCTGCGAAGGACAGAATGTTCTTTTCATGAAGTTGATTGTGATGAGGTGTATCCTGGTATTTTCATTGGTGATGTGTAAGTTACATGTAATATAGTAAACAACTTTCCGGGTAAAACGATGGAATTACTACACTTTCTATCATTCACCATAAGAACTGAACGCAATCAACTTTTAATTCCAATCTTTTTGCTTCAATATTTTATTAAGTATAATATTTTGTTGAATAGTTTTGAGCTGAATAACGAGATTTTTATGTTCCAAGAGTGCATCACTTATACGGAAATTGCATTTGAATTATGGACCTATGTTAATTTATGACTTGTTTCCAAAGATATTCAGCCGCCGAATTTAACCTTCATGATGAAAAGTCTTAAAAAATGCTTTCTAATTCCAACCTTGAGATCAAATTAACATTGAGTTTTTAAATTATTAACCGACCCAACGCCGTAAAATTCAGAGTCATTTTCTTTTTCCGTATAATTGAACAGATTGAATGCGTTTTGCCTAGCTCTCTCCTACTTGATTATTACTAAAAACATATAAATTGTTATTATTGATATTACAGAGCTTCAGCAAAAAACAAATCATTTCTACGAATGATGGGTATTACACATGTCTTAAATGCTGCGGAGGGTTGTCGTTACGGCCAAGTGGACACTGGACACAGTTATTACCGCGACATGCCCAGCATAAGGTTCGTTAATAGTGTAAATATAGATCTTATTCATAAGACTAGTTTGCTTATTTGTTTGAATAGTACGAAATAGTCGAAATAGATGTACATATATAACATTGCATATAATGTTGAAAAAGAGTTGAATTTGCCACTTCTATCTGTCTGTGCAAAAAATAAAATAAATACTTTATGCTAGGTACGAGCTGGTTACCGCTTTTATATCCTCTTCACTACTTTTTAAACTGAGTTAAAAAAAATACGTTTCATTTATGCTCTCAGTTTAGAAATGCTCCGAAAATTCGCTGAGAGCAAATACATATGTATGTATGTACATCTCTTTTGCAGTATTGTGGCAAATTCATTTCAAGCAACAACTGCAGTTGCAGTGTTCCTTTTTTCTGAATATGCGTACATATGTACAAACATATATGAGTTTGTGTGTAGGCTTATATTTATGTATGTATGATATGCCGGATAGAGCAATTGCGTTATTTTGTTCGGTTATTGATCCATACATACATACATATACCTTAATACTGATAATATCATTAATTATATATTCATATAACTATATATAAATGTGGAATATTAATATTTGTCTGCTTAAGTTTTGCAGAACCAATTTAGATAAAAAAAAGTTCTTAATATACAATAAGTTTTGTTGAATTAATCAAAAGTTTACGACTTTGTTGGTTTGTCGATCTACAATTTTTTTATCATAAAACTATCTTTTGGTAAAAACGTATAACAACACTGTAGAAGAAACAACAAAGATACTTTTTTCAGGTATATGGGATTCCCAATGGTTGATGCCCCTACCACAGATATTTCCCGATATTTTTATGTGGCGGCAAAATTCATAGACAGCGCTATTAGCAGTGGAGGTAAGTATGATGAGTGAGGTAGATAAATCTTTTTAAAGCATTGAAAAAGTTAACTTTACGGGTGAATCATTGTGCACCGTGACATACTTTCCTTTGCGTCGTTCGTATTTGTATTATATAATGTGTAACGATAATTTTAGGAAAAGGGAGTGGTGCCCTTTTTGAGAGAAAACGGCAAAAAATAGTTGTTTAAAGTGGTGTAGAAACAAACTCTTGAATCATTTCTCGACTGCAGAGAAGGAATTCAATTATCTCTGACATCGTCATATCGGTCTCGTTACATTTGCAATCAGCTATTCGATTACTGCCCACTAAGCATTCAACCATCATTCCCTGTGTCTCTGTTCCTTGGCTTATGGTGGTGTTGGTGCCAAAACTCTTATAAAGTTTGTTTCAAAATTAACGCAAGATTGGAATTAAATAGTATAGATAGGCTTCAGTTGTTGTTAATTGAATTTTGTAAGCTTGGAGACACAGATCTGTAGTGAGTATACGCTGTAAAGAGCTCCTTGAAATTTGCAATTCTTATCTACGACGCCGAATTGAGATTCCTGGATTATCTCTGACACTCTAACATACTGCTTCAATATTGTCATTTGAAGGATTTGTTTTTGGCAGAGCAGTGTGCTTGGAGTCTTTAAAGGATCCTGCTTCCCACCAAGCTTTCATTATTTTTGAAATATTGTTCAATAATATAGGCACATTGTTCGTGTAACGCCCCATTTTTACTAAGCCTAATTTTCCAGCTGTAGTATTGTTTTTTAGGGTTGTGATAAATGCCTTAAATCTAAATCCTGCGTTAATTTTGGTACACCCTGTGATTCTCCAACTAAACGTTCATCATATGAATTGCAAGGTTTATCTCTTATTGCGTATGCTTGTTCATTTCTTATAAAACCAAGTTTGGAAAATAAATACTAAAGGAAAACAGCCCATGTTCAACCAAAAAAGTCCTGTATATAATTAGAGTGATTATATGTATAAATAGTACATATTTAAAATGCACTTTTTTCGATCCTCTAAATTTATTTACATTACTAAACTTTAACTTTGTGTTGTTTGACACAGCTTTTTAATGCACAGATTTGGCTTTGACATCAAAAATTTATATTTTAGGTAAAATTCTTGTGCATTGCTTGGTGGGAATGTCTAGGTCTGCTACATGTGTATTGGCATACCTGATGATTTGCCGCAAAATGTCCGCTGCAGATGCGATACGGAAGGTGCGTATGCGACGTGAGATTCGACCAAACGAAGGATTTTTACAACAATTAGCCGACCTGGACGTGGAACTTAAACGAAAAAATCTCTATCCCTATTGAAATAATTGAGTTGTTATGACAACGTTGTTAAAACATTTAGTACAACTAACTTTGGAATTTACTTACTAAAAATATTAACAAAACTGAAATGTACATACTTATAATAATGTAATAATACAAAGCTTACTGCTAGTCAGTACATCTAAAGTCTTATGATATCAAATCAGGTACAGATGATTTTTTTAATTTGAGTTATATCGAATTAGGTTTACAAATAAGTCATATATGTTTATGTATGTATATATATGTAAGTGATAAATAAGTACTGTCAACGAATATTATAAAAAAGGACCGAACAGTGAACAACATTAATAAAGAAATGTTAATTAGAAAAACTTAAGCGAATGTGATATTTTTCTCAAATCCTACCCTTTGAATGAATAATTGGTACTGCACATCAGCTCACCTAACAGAACTAATAATATTTGCAATCGTCTGTTATAATGTTTGGTAAAGAAGATAACAATTAGTAACAAAAAACACGTACACATGTGTGTATGCAGTTTTATTTTAGTTTTAATTGGCGCTTTGTACCCGCTGAAGCGATTTCCGGCTGAGCTCCTCCTTTGTTTCTTGATGTTTTTCCAACAAATGGAGGGACTTACAGTTTATAATAACCCGCCTCGGAACGGCTGATGGATTTTTTTATGAGGATCCTTTATTTCATGTTAGAAATTCACTCAGAGGGGTTGACATTCCCTGCCGAGGGGCGACCTCAATTAGAAAATTTAACTAAATTTTTTATTTAAATAAATTTTCTATAACTTTACTAATACTAAGATGAATAAGTATATTGTATTGATACTTTATAAAATAATACCGGAGAATGTGAATATAATGAGAAGATGCAGATGTTAAATCACATCAGTTCGCTTATCCCATACAAGACCCAATGGGGAACTAGTCGAAATTGAAGACGCGACCCAAAAGGGAGCTGGCAAAAAGGCAATATCGCACTCAATTTGCACGAAGGAAATGCTCAACTTATAGATTTTATGCTTATGCATTTGCTTTTATGCGGTTAATATGTATGTATATGCATGTATAGATGACCTTAAAAAGTAATTCCTCAAAATTATGTATTGTATGATTATTGAAAAAAATTTTAAAATGGGAGTGAATAACTAAAAGAATATTTAAAAGTTATAATTAATTATAGTTTAGTTTACAATATGTAAAAAAATAGTTTTCAATAATAAAATTTTGCACGCTTCAAGTTGGACTTGAATTAGAGCCATGCGTGTGACGCAAACTTCAATGGCAAATTATTGCGAGTTGTGCCTGCACCTATACCAACTCCACCACAAGAAAACGAGTTGTCGCGGCATTTAGTGCATGATCATATAAGGAATATGTTATAAATCAGTAATTTCAGCTGAAATCTTCAAAGTTTGAGATTTTAGTAAGCTCAAACTAAATGAGTAACCCAGGTATTTACACTTGTCTTGGCCTTAGATCATTTGATTTATATTAATTAAATTTATTTCAACTAATTTTATTGAATTATGTATAAACTTCACTTTTATTTTATTTACTTATTCTATTTTATTTTATTTTTTTCATTTAATTAATGTTATTTCATTTCATTTTATTTATTGTAATAATTTTAATTAAATTTAATATTTTTATTATTTTTTTACTTCATGTATGGGTTCTTCATACAGCTTAATTTCACGATCATGGCATATAGCATTAAAATCGAAAATTCAAGTTGAAGCCAAGGCTGACTTTTATGCTTCCATAGAATCTCTAAACATGGTGTAGTTTATAGGTAAAAAAAGGACAGATATATCAAGGTTCTGTTGTAGCTGAGGCGGTTTAACTGATGAAAAATTAAATATTTTTTTTAGTTAAAGCTTAGATCCGATTCCTACATGAGGCACGTTTTTTTAATTTTCCTTTTAATTTTTTTCATTTAAATTGAATTTTAACTTAAACTTGAATTGATGAAATATGCCATCATCGTCAAGTAGATGTTGCTTGTAGGTAACTATGGAATTTGAAGGGATGAAGGTGGAAGGGCATGCATGTGAGCATTGTTTTTACCTTTGAATTTATCGATTATCCAAGTTTCGCTGATTTTCTGATTTTTAAGACTTTTCGTCGACGAATTGGGTTGTGGAGAAAACGAATGCGGGGGTATTGGGGAATATGCAAGGAATAGTGAATGAAAACATGAAATTTATGAATGAAATCTCCTTTTACTATGCATGCGGATTTACTATTTCCAGGATACATACACCTTCATACAAATTGAGTATGTATGAAGAATCCATATATGAAGTAAATTTGAAAGAAATAAAATGAGTTTAAAAATTAATTTAAAAATAAATAAAATAAGATAAAATAAAATAGAACTAAATTAAATAAAGTAAAAAAATGTTAAATAAAATAAAATAAAGGAGAAGGAAATAAAATAAAATTGAATTAAATAATATAACATTGAATTGAATTGAAATTATTACAAGAAATATAATGAAATGAAATAACAATAATTAAATGAAAAAAATAAAATAGAAAAAATAATAATACGAAATGAAATGGACTAAGATAGAATTAAAATTTATACATAATTAAATAAAATTAGTTGAAATAAATTTAATAAAAATAAATCAAATGATCTAAGGCCAAGGCAAGGGAACAAACTAACTAAAAATATATAAAAAAATATATGCGTGCGTATGAATACATAAATACCTGGCTTATTCATTTAGTTTGAGTCTATTGGGTCGCGTCTTCAATTTCGACTGGTTCTCCATTGGGTCTTGTATGTGCTAAGCGATCCGACGTGACTTAACATTTGCGCCTTCTCATTATATTAACATTCTCTGGTTCTACAAATGGGAAGGCTAATATCAAGGCAAATTCACACACTGTCGTAGCAGAAATACAAAACCGAAATGTCTATGTTTTTCGTTTTAGTTTTCATGAAATCGAAATGTCAAAACCTATTGCTCATATGTATTTCGCTTGTGTAATTTAATCATATGATGCTACAACTTCATTTTCTATAAATTCGCCTTGGTCAACACCAAAAGAGAAGTTGTGGATAACAGTGACAAAAGTTGTCCTACGTAAACCCTGTGTAAGGGCCCATTCTAGTGGCAACATTGGCAAAATTTTTCAGTCTGAATTTTGGTATAATATATTGTTAGTGTTGTGTTTATTTAGTTTATTGTCTACTGCCGAAATTAAAAAATACTTTTTTGTGATATTAAATGCTATGGAAAATAAAAGCACCTAATTAAAAATATGTGAATTCATCAAGTAATTATTTACATGTTCTTTAAGAAATGCTATGAAATAGTGATGGAATAATCATTTGTATGGATATGTGTACTTACATTCTCGTATACATATGTACATACATATGTATATTCCTAAGATTTAACTTTTTTAAGTTTTCTAAGGAACAACAAATTATATTGGCACCAGCAAAAAAGCATTAATACTTTGTGCAACATTTGCTATCTTTCCTTGGTTTTCTTGTTTAAAACGTAAGATTTCGCACTAAACTCGGTGTGTGGGGCATAGCAATGTAATATGGGGAACGATTTTGATCAAATTATAATGATGTACTTTTGCATAAAGTGGACACGAAACCATCAATTTGGGTACAACACTATTTTATTAATTTCTTCTTAAAAAAATTATGTACCTTAATATTGAAAATTCTTGGAAAGCGATATTTAAAACTAAATTGGATATTAATCCATTTCATTTGCTTACATGCAAATGTTCCAAGAATGATAGCTTTGCAGCAACAATGCAATATAAATATAATCAAGAATTTTTTCACCAATACTGACCCCGCCGATTATGGCTGTGGTTTCGAGATTTTGTCTGCATTAAAGCGTACCACCATATACCAAATCATGTACGAATTTTCCAGGTCACAATAACAACCACGCCCGATTCTTTTATAACAGTAAATTCGCAAACTTAAAACATATCATTCAAAGATGACTAATATTTTTTAAATAAGGTCCGATGATATTGACCAAACTAAAGAACCCCATTATCTTGATTCGACTTTACTTAATTTTCTCAGCTTAATGATATAATTATAAAATATTATGTTCTTGACTATGTATATTTATATGCCGTGTATACCCTCAACAATAATATATAGCAGTTTACTTTTACAAAACTATACGCAGAGCGATATTCTTTCAATGGAGATGATATCTAGAGTTGAGAACAATGTTGCCGAATTTGATTCGAATATACCAAACTCAATGGTGCCAGGCAGATTTGATCATGGAACTCACAATTACATTCTAAAAAATTGCGATGAGAATACTGATGGTATTGTTCTAATCGACCTGCATAATAAAAGAAGTGATCGAAAAAATATGGAAGGTGCCAACCAGGTAAACAAATTTGTAAAATTTATCACGCTACTTATAATTATAGTTACCTACCTCTACGATACTTTTCAGTAACCCCCTGCGGGTGAGGGGCTCAAGAATTTACCCGCGGTAAGGCATGCCTGTCGTAAGAGGCGACTAAAATCCAATAAATCCCGCGACAGTCGGGTCTTTATACCGGAACGACCCGGATTTTTATCCGGCCAAGGACTGTCACTCCCGCAACATTCCCCAAAAAGTACTTTGGGGAATAATTTTGCGGTTACAACTACAACAACATACTTTTCAGTACACGCGAAAAGTCAAGAATCACAGACATGAGTTTTTCAGTGAAAAAAAAATTCATTCATGGTATAAATGAACAAAAATTGTTGACCATTTTCGAGTAAAATAAATTATATATTTGTATCATTATACAAAACTTATTACATAATTAGCCTTTGTCGAAACAAGATTTTGGTTTTCAGAATTTTTAAACTTTGAGCCGCAGCTACTAATTTTTTTTTTGTCATAGAATAGACTAAAACGTTTATATCTTCAGCATTAATGATAATCTCGCGGAGAGAAAGCTCATTAGCTTTAAGTACTCGATTACTACCATAATATCGGTGTAATAAAAATCTTCAGAAATAATTGTTTAATATATGAAGTTCCCGTGTCACAGTGCGTGTAACAAAATTTCGACATACTTTGTATATTTAGTACGTCTAGGAATGGGGTCTGAAACCCATTTATTTAAAATCATATTTAAGTTTTCATTTACTTGAAATTAGATACACCATTAGCTTTTTTGCACAATAAAAAAAATGATATGAATTTCCCATTCACTTCTGTTATTTTGAGAATTCACTCAGTGATCAGAGCAAGTGACGTTTTTCGATTTTCTGTGCTATTACATACTTATTTATTAAAGAGGTTTATGTAACTTGAATGATGACAACTTTTTTTTAGGTGAAGTGGTCTCGCAACAATATCACTGCCACCATGGAACGCTTTGAACCCACGCGGAGTATAAATTCTATGTCACCTACGCCATCTTTGGATTATGGATTTGCAGCCACTGTCGTCAACTCAAAGGCTGAAACAAACAATTCTCTAAAAACTCCTCACTTTGTTGAAATGACGTCAAATGATTTCAGACGCGAAGAAACTGCTATATCTAAGAACCACATTTATTCGTATGCCTATTATGATCCAGAAGCTGTAAAATACCCTCGAAACATGCCGCGCAACGGGAGTCACACATTAAATACTACAACGACAGATCACCAGGCCCTGGAAACATCAAATAATACTCAGCACAATTATGTTCGTACTTTACTGCCGAAAGCGCATTGTTCTAAACCAAGTAGTGCAAAAAATTCACCTCTGTCATTGTCTGTGGAAGATCGCCACACTTTTACCACACGATATGGAACAACAGAAAACTTGTATGAAGAAGTCAACGAGCAAAAAATAAGAAAAGTTTTCTCTGATAACCGTATAGTTACAACTGCGAATTCAGTGAAAGAGGAGATTCGACGTGTCCATCACAATCACTTTCGAGTGCTGGATGAACTCAATTTGTCCTTGGAAGCTCTGATCATGCCACCTAGTTCCCAAAAAACTACCTATGATGCTATAAATACTATAGAGGATAGTTCAGAAAGTGTTGCTGCCTCTGTAGCTACAGGAAACGCTTTGACGTCAAGTGTGCCAGCTTCAACAAAAATCTTACCGCCAAAACCTCGGCGATACGGTTTACTTGGAGGAAATTCTTCTTCATCATTTTCCAAAAGGGAATCTAATGGATTTTCAACAACTAGTTTAGAAAATTTTTCAAATGCTATACAATCGGAAAATCTTAAAGACCAATTACGTAACTCGAATAACAATACTGATCTTGACGAAGGTGATTTGGATAGCGGATTTAGTGGGAGCGGCAGCAGTAGTGGTAATAGCTACAATGAAAGTTTGCGGTTCTTCAAATCTATAGCTGGCAACCAAATAGCACATAATACTAAATATCCATGTTGCTCACCTTCATCATCGGCAGTATTTACATCGAAAAATAGTCTAGCATCTCAAGAAAACTCAGTAGCTAATGCCACAGAAAACATTACTAATAAATGTTGTGGAGAGGTGTCACCAAAGTCGTATGATAATGAATGTACTGCCTACCGTTGCATTCGTCATCCACTGAATATGCAGGATTTTACTATGCGCTCAACACCATCCGAGATTTCTACAGTTACAAAGTCTAAAAAGGGCTTTTGGACTACGGAACCATGATGTTAGGCCATTTTTGATTTGAAATAAAATTTTAGTATGTATGTACGTATATGTTTATAGAAAAATACAATAAGTTGATTTACATAATGGAAAAAATATTTGTCATATTTTATGATCATGCTAAAATACAATTATTTAATAGTTTTTATTATATTTTGTAATAAAGTAAAAATACATTTAAATATTAATTTTCACATAAGTGAATACTCTGCCTAATTATTCCGTCAAACCAAAGAACTCTGTCCATAAGAGAAAAAACATAGGCCTTCGTAGAAATATATTAGCTTTTGCAGATATTGATTCATGCTGATACCAAAGCCTGGAATTAGAGGATACTTTGATTGTTGAAGTGAAATAAATGTAGTTAAAATACTTATAAGCAGCATAATAAGTTTACTTTAGGCACAAACTTTCGGGGACCAACAGCATTTAATATTATCTTAAATATTTGCACACATGTCCTCATCGTATTAGCCTTCCCTTGAATCTTTATCAAATTCACACGAATCGCTATTAGTTGATGGACATACCCAGCATTTTTTTTTTATTAAATATAAAGAAAATTGCTGACAGTGACAGTAGTGAGGCAAAAAGTCTGTAAAATTATGAAACGCAGAAAAGTTGAATGTTCGGTAACATTTTGCTTTAAATTGATTCACCTATCCTCTCCTCACTTTTTAGGTCTACTCACATACATAAATGCACAATTCGAATATATTTGTCAAATCGCAAATCTGAGACAAGAATCTTATGTGAATCAGTTTTTAGCAGTTAACCGGGCTTAAGACTGACGTAAGGATTTATACATATGTACTCATTGTAACTTCCTGATAAGGTCGAATAGGCTATAGAAGAAGGGGAATACTTGAATACTCTTGAACAAAGCAATCAAAAATAGAAAACGTTTAATTTGTAGTAAATTGAAAAACTACTTAGTCTATGGAAATATCTATTTGTTTGTAGTAATTTCTTCAGAGAGTAATCAGATAATCCTAAATATTTTCAACTTGTTTATTTAAAAATCTAAAATATTTGTTGTTTTAAGCTTCAGCTGAATATCAAAATATTAATATAAAATTGGAATTTTTAAACAAGCACGGTTCCGATTTGGTTCAAACGTTTTCAAGTTTTAAGCTTACAAAATTTTTGAAAGATACAAAGGACTGTATCTGTATATATTTATGTACATGTATGCAAAAGTTCAAAGCTGTCGAGAAAGTTTTCAGTTTTTCAAAAGTGGTTCGTTTAGAAGATTAGAACTTTAAAACTATTCCACCAAATCGAAACCATCCATCTACTCCTATATTACAATATTTTGACCGAGCCCCTTCTCCAATACTTGGTGTGCGTGTATATTTATTCTTACAATGTATGATACATATTTATGTATGTATGTGCATTCGCAAGCATCATCCGTACTACTTATGGATTTTGATGAGCAACTTTGAAGAAAAACTTTCATCTATTTTATGGATGAATTTCATATCCATTTTAAATTATTTGGTAGCTTACAAAATTGAACCAAATCCGCCATTAAACAGAGGGTTTTACTGTTGACGTAACCTTATTCTCTATAAACCTTACTTATATATATATATGTATGTACACGAATATACACTTAGGAATTCTTTCAAAACATCGATTGAACCTTTTTTATTTGATCGAAATCAAAGAAATTATATATATATACTAATTTTATTTAATTATTTTAAAATAACATACACACATATGTCCTTAATTATGCATGTACGTACGGCGTACACGTTTGTTTATACATACATATGTAGCTGTAACAAAAACTTTTTCCAATGTGAAATTATCGAAAACGATTTGCCTGTAAGTAGAGTTGACGATAATAAGAGTATCGAAAATGTGCAAAGAAAAACTCTTTGATCCTTATTTGATATTTATAAAAACTTGCGTATGTCCATGCTCGTTTTATTCAATATGTTCGTTTTGACTAATTTCCGAATCTTCATCTGGTTCTGTTAGTAACGGACTATCATCGCTTAGTGGATTTGAGGGCAAAGCCGTGCCTGGTGTTGTTGGTGCTGATCGTGATACTAAAATTCTGCGCATTTTACCTCCTCTACCGGAGAAGAACTTTGTCCCCACTATGTTGCTGACTGGACTTTTTGCGAGACATTTGCTCGAATGCATTGATTTTGCATTAGGAATCATTGGAATATAAAGAGCTTTATTTGGTTTTGAAGCGAAGTACTTCATTTTATTTTGGTGTAACGCTAACGGGCGTTTCAATAAAACGTCACTATCATTATATGACCTAGGTTTATTATGTGATTTTGGTTTTAGAATCGTTACATTCCCTTTATCCAAAGGGGACGTCGCTATGCAAACATTGGTTTTGGAGAATATTGGATTAGCAGAAAATATTGCATTTGAGCTCAGTTGTATTTCACACGACGCAACAGAATTACGATGAGCCTTTTGCTGGGTAGTGGTCTGCTCAATTTCTGTATTCTTTGGTGCTGACAATGTGTGACATAGTGCCGGTTTCATATGCATTAACAAGTCGTCATAACTAATATCTTCTTGCAATTGACGTATTTGGTCGAGAATCTCTCTCACTTCTCCTGTCGGACTTGTAGCTTGCGGTGGCGAACTCTCTATGCAAAGATTTGCAAGGCTGCTCACCGCAGAACAATTATTCGACGCTGTTGCATTAAGCAGTTCGTCTCTGTTGTACGCCTTAGTGTTAGTCATAAAAGTATCCGATATCGTTGTTTGAGGTTGATGTTGCTTCTTTTGTAATATATGACAACATGTTTCTAGACTTTGTCTAAGTAAATTAAAATCTTTAATATCTGCTACTAATTGTTCGCTTGTGTCTCCAGAAACTCCTTGAGGAATACTAGTAATTGAGTCACATGATTTATAAGTCGGTTTAAAAACACTCCTTTCGACGACAAGCTGTGTAGGATGCGTGTTAGTTTGTTGGCCGTTGTCAAAATCTTCTAGTGCCCAATGATTATCTGTTAGAACAGTAGTATCACGTTTGACCTGTTGTTCATTTACCATAGTGTTATCGAAATTAATTATCTCAACTGATTTACTGTCTCTATCGTTTGTATAAGTAAAGGGAGCAACTGAGGTGTTGTTTGTAAAAATATCACTTAAACTATTGTTAAAATACCGAAATTGTTGCTCGCTTTGAGACTGAATAAAACCCTTCGGGACGCAACCTCCATCAGCATTGTTAGAGCATTCACTACTCCGTGTACTTTTGTTGTCACTACTAATTATATTACTATCACCGTTATTATTTTGGGAACTTGTGCAGTTGTTATTGCCCTCCGCAGACTCTTCGATGAAATTGGTCTGTTCACCAACCGACGTTTGTAAGATCGTGCTGTAAGACATCGGCGAATTTGTAATATTGGCTACGTTGTTTTGATTTCCGCCAACTGAACTATTTAGAGCTACGACAGTAAAGTGTGGACTACGACTTTGTTGACTTTGAAGAATTTGTTGATTGATATGGCCATTATTCTCGTACGTTTCAATAATGTTGTTCCCTCCATTACCCACAGTGGCATATACTATTTGGGAGGCAGAACGAGGTAACAGAAACTGTTGTTGGAAGTGTGTACTTAAACCATTTTCTGGACTAGCTGCACGAGAATACGGCGGTGGCACAAGGGTGTTGGCCTCATTGATATTACAAATAAAACTTGAACTAAGCGAATCTAATGTACTTGCCGCAGACAAAGATGGACGAACAATGTAGTTCCGAAAATATTGCACCATTAGATAACTAGAACCACTTTTTGCATTATCACTGTTGCATGTGAAAACAATAGGATAAAGGTCTGGTTTGGATGTAACCTTAAATCGGGAATATTCTAATCAATAAATAAATTAAATATATTTAAATAAGTATAAATACCTCTGTATATGGAGGTGGCGGATGATGAAACGAATTACAGCGACTATATTGGGGTGGAGCATAACAGGACCCGGCCGAATCACCCTCTGATTGAGCGCGATGCTCTGGGAATCCCCATCCACACAGCGTTCGGCGCTTTTTCCATAATGAATACGCACAGAGTAGTGCTAAAATAATCGCAACAACTACGCACCTAAATACAAAAAAAAAATTATAGTAATACAATATATCATACACATTTCTGATTAAATTAAAAAAGTAATGTTAACAAGAAAAAAACCTATGGAATTTAAAAAACATTATCCTTTCGAGTCATGCTGAAGGTCTCGTTCGAGATAAAAATGTCAGAGAGTAATATCATCCTCATTCTCAAAAAGTTTACAACCATTTCGATCATGTTGTAATAGACAGAATGCATGTATCCAGTGTTTTAGAAGTGCGTACGTTCCGAGGTCCTAACATAAACTCAGATCAATATCATGTCGCAGCGAAGATACGCACGCGTCTCTATGTATCAAAAAACATAAGGAAGGTTGACATCAAAAAGCTGCAATCACAACACACAGCTGAACGGTTTTCTACTCCGCTGGCACACCTCCTTTCTGAGACCACTCATCAACAACTTCATAACAGTGGAACGGCAGCTCAAACTCCCTTTTCTTACCTCCACTACGGAAGCAATAGGCTTTCGGTAGTGTCAGAAAAAGAGCTGGTACAACGAGAATGTCGAGCTGCTGAGAAAACAGACTGCGTACCTCGCAACCTTGTGATCAACCACAACACGTGTGGGGTGGGATAGATACCGAGAGCTAAAGACGTAAGAAAAACGCATTTGCAGAAAAAAGATAAGGCCGATATGCGTGAGTATGAAGAGCTTGAGAAGCTGGCCGGCAAAGGTAACACTTGAAAATTCTACGAAAAGATACTGCGACTTACGGAAGGTTTCAAAAGCAAACTCTCGTAGGACCCAGAGGAATGATATAGTGAGAGACCTACCGGCAAAGTTGTTCAAACATGGCGGTGAAAAATAGACAAGGTGCATGCGACAGCTACTTCGCAGAATATGGTCGGACGAAAGCTTGCCCGACGATTGGAACTTAAGTTGATCTGCTCAATCTAATCCACATAAAGGGCGATCCCTCAGGTTATATCGAGTGTATTGTGTAAAAGATTAAAGCCTAAAGTCAATAAACTGATTGGACATCATCAATGTTGCCTTAAACCTGGTAAATCAAAAGTTTTAAAGCAGCCTTCTACAGTACGGCAGGACGTAGATAATTTTCTCTATCTAGGGGCCAGCACTAACACCAATAATAATCGCTTTTGCCAACAAATTCTACTTCGGACTGAGTAGGCAATTGAAAAGTAAAGACCTCTCTCGACGAACGAAGTCCGAACTCTATAAGTCAGTCATCATACCCGTCGTACTATATGGTGCAGAAGAGTGGACTATGTCAACATCAGATAAGAAGGTTTTAGGAGTTTTGAGAGAAAAGTTTTGCGAGCGATTTATGGTCCTTTGTACATTGGCAATGGTGAATACAGCAGCCTCAGGTGATAAGACCAGTGGGTTGAGCCCAATTTTTGATAAGAGTTTGGTGCTCACCTAAATACATTCTGCATTCAAAAAAAACTAAAAAACTATTCGCCCTTTCTATTACCTATTATTTCTTTACCAAATCATACTAATGTAATCTCCGAAATTAGATTGTCTTTTATATTAAAGCATAACAACTTACCAAAAAAACCAGTGACTGACAAAAAATAAATTAAGGACGTGCTCAGATGGTGGCGGTAGTGGTCGAGGGCCGCTTTGGTAAGGTGGACAACATCCTTGCGTGCAGCATTCCCTTGGTAATGAACAATAATGACCTCCTTCACAGAAGCGAGCGTTGATCTAATATAAAATAATATAAATATAGGCTGTTAAATTTTATGCATTCAAATTATAAAGATATTTTTTTATTTCACAAAAGCTAAGTCCGTAAGCACCCATGTTTCCATTTCAAAAGTTGTCAAAATTGCGATGTGTAATCATCTTATACTTTTCATTGAAGTTGGTTTATATGTGGCGGGTCTTAAGCCCAACGCACAACCTCGTTAGGCGAGTAAGTTTTAATTTTTTTAAACATTTATAAAGTGAGCCGCTGGCTTCAAGTCCGACGCACAATTGGGTAAAAGTGCTTAAAACATGCGTAATGCTTGCTTCATGCTGTAGTTCCTTTGTAATCGTTAATATTTTTTTCATATTTGGATTTTTTTTTAATTGTTCAAGAACAAATTTTTATAAATATCTAGTCTTCCTAGTTCTTCCTTCTATTTCAACAAATTACACAAAGAAAATATATGAGAATTAGATTTTGGCATTACGAACTTTCTATTACACCAACAAAATACATTGAACGAATATTGTTTTTGACTTTTCGAATCTGTGATTACACAAACAAAATACATGGGCTTTTTCTTTTTGTATTCTTGCTACTACCGCGTGTGCATTGGTCTATGCCATTCCATACATTTCTTATAAATCTTCTTATTCATTAAAAAAAGCAATTATTATATTCCAACTCGTTGAGAGGCTAGTTGCGCATTGCCCATACAAAATACTATACTTTTCAATAATATAGTACACATGTGAAAAATTTTTATGGCAACTCAAATTTTGCGAATTTCTTTAAAAAAGAAGAAAATTTATTTTATTTTTTAGTAAAGTTCACCGATTAACGTCTTCTATTACATGCTTTCTTTTTAATAAAATAGATAAGGAGAACAATATTTATACCGACTGTAGGTCTGTCTGCCTTTGCGTCTGTCAGTACACAAACTACTCCGTTCGTTTTAGAGATATTTCAACCAAATTTGGTAAGCTGAGGTAATTTTATATTGTATTTGATACCATTTTATTATACATATTTACAACCGAATTTTAGAGTTCGGGTTATAAGTTCGCCGAAAAAGTATGGAATAGCGCTAAATTTGATATTCTATATAGACTACTTAAAATTATTATTTACACTGAAAACCAACGGAATCGCAAAACTATATATACATCCTTCTTGGAACCGATTTTTTAGATATGACGTGTTAGGTTAAATCGTAGATCTAAATCTTAAAAAAAGACATATTATTTATTATATCTTTATTAACAAATGCTTAACTTCAATATGTAAGTTATAGCCGAGTCTGACTTTTTTAAAAAACGATTACAAATATCGATAAGATTAATAATTCCTGATTCTCGCCCGGCATATCAACGTCGGATTAAAAAATTTCAGAAAATTTTTCAGTTTAGCAAATTTTGGCTTGAAGTGGTAAGTTCAAATATAATGCAGGAATCTGTAGATGAGTTCGACATCATCTGCTTTATATAATATGAGCTCATACCTTATGGACCTATATATTTCGTTGATCTGTGATTAGTAAAAAAAAGTTATGGTCCAAAGAAAATACTTTTTCCAAAAAAGGCAATATTTTGAAAGAAGAACATATGCATGTATGTAAAATAGAAAAAATTAACGATAGATATACTGCCGGATACTTATTTTTTGCTCTAATGCGCGTGTTTTGAGTACTTGTAGTATGTGCGACGCCCGCTTTCATCCGTAGCTGTGATGAACAAACGTTACATTTAGATGACAGCAAACCCTTAAACCGAACAATCGGACTGGCTGCACTGCAGCTTCCTCTCTTTTAACCGTGACCCAAGGCTTCACGCGGGTTGGGTACCGCATCTTGCACAAGGATGTCTCAAGGTTCCAGGGTACGCGACGTGGACGCGTAGAAATGGAGCACAACCCCACGGCTGTAACTCTATTCGCAGGAGCTTACCTACAACGCAATTTTAACAACGCCTCGGATGAAAAACCACATTTTGCTGATGACCCCTGAAAACGAATTAAGAAACACGACTCAAGGCCATGTTTCTGGAATGTCCTTTCTCTTAAATGGGTAGGTGCCCGTTGCGTAGCTGGTTGATGTCCTCCTAGGAATAAAGGCTGACATCACCGCCGTCCAAGTGACCACGATGTAAATATCGTACTTGACGACTTTAAGGCAAAAGTTAAAAGCGTTATCAGAATCGGATTACCTGCCAGAGTTAAGTGTATGCATGCATAAACAAACAAATATATTATATGCATGTATATGCATCAGCTTGATAGAATTTATTTGCGTTGGTTAAGAGCTAGCCAGCAACTATCTGTAAGCCGCATTGTTATATTATAATCCGTCTGGAGCCCCTCCGTCACTTTATGCAACCTGACAAAGCCCTCCACCCGGACAATAATAGAGCATTGTTTTAAGAATACCGTTCGTTTTCTACCACATATGTATGTACATATGTATATTTAAAAAAATATATTTTGCTATTTATATCATGATACAAAAAAGGAATGTAGCTTCACTCAATATAAATTTGACAGAAAAAGATTATATCTTATTTTTTTTAGCTGTGTTCGTTGAAATTTTTCAGTAAAAATTAGACAATAACGAAATTGAGAGAGTAGAGGCCTTACTATCCCAAAGAAAGAAATTCACTGAGTTTTCACCGAGCAAGAGCTTTCATTTTCCTTTTGAATGCTACTAATATTTCATTTTGTGCATCGTCGTCGCTTCCGGAAGCTTAAGAATGCATTATCGTCGTTGTAACCATTGCAACAATCTTGCAACGCCATGTTTTGCGGCTCATTTGATCGAGACTGCTTTTTAGTAATTTTAAGGAATCCACAATCAATTTGCTTTGCACGAAAACTAATAATAATTCTTTGTCTACGGAATTCCCAATTCCTAATTCTTCAATGTAGGCTCGGTGTTATGCGGCGACTGCCACCACATTCTCTTAATGAGTACTTTAGTAAAATTATATTTATATTATATTTTAATCTCTTTTTTTTTAATTTCGGAAAGTTTAACATTAATTTTTAAATGAAATTGGCAGCATAAAATCTTTTTACGTCAGGTGGTTAGTATTTTTGAAAAAAATTTTGTGTAAAACTACCTTGTTTTTTGGAATCATGGTTTAACTGTTAATTTATTAAGAGTTTAATATTTATCAAACAATATATCATAACATCTTTTAAAAAATAGACATCTGTATTCAAAATAAGTTTATATTTAATTATTACCTCAAGAAAACCCTCTTCCCCCATAAACTGGCTTAGCGTAATTCTTAAACTTATACCCTCTCCCCTTTGGCCCGTCTACGAATTCTTGAAATATTTAAATACTTATATCTAATCTAGAATAAACCAGGAGATTAAATCTTTTGAATGCATCTTATTTTTATTGAACAATAATATTCAGGTATGCAATCAAAAGTTATGAAATACGCGTGATTGTAAATAAATTCCTTCAATGGATATACATATGAATGTAAATTGCACTAAAAAAACACTTACTAGCCTCGGCATACGGAAGATGGTAAAAAATAAAATTGCAGGGAACAACAACATTTCCTCTTGCTCCTAGAAACTATGTGTCATTGAGTGCAATAGTAATGTAGTTCTTCATCCATGAATGAGGTAAAAATATCGTTCACGTATCTGTTATTTCAGCAATCGTTGTAGTTGTACTAATTAAAAATATGTTAACAAGAAGTAACTGCACAAACATATTTCACGTAGTTAATGTAAAGTTGCATTCATCTGTATACATACACATATGTACATATGTATGCAATCCGTAGAGAAAACTGGCCACGCACTGACGAGTTTCTTATGTAAAATTTGTTTGAATGTGGAGCTTTCAATGTTTTTATTGTGCCCGAAACAATTTATTCACTTTAATATTTATGTTTTAAATTTAAACGTTTAAAAACTCGTTAAAACAAAGTTGTTACAAACGCAAATATTTATGTTCGATAGTCATGAGAAAAAGTTATAATTCTTGTGTGTTCAATTCAGATCTCACTTTGTGTTGCAATGGTAAATATTATAAGGGAAGGGAATAGCCAACTACCCTTAGCACTCTGTTCCTCATTTCCCTATCCTGTTTCCATATATTGCCTCAGTAGCATTGCCAATGCGAAGAAATTATATACGTTTAATCAAAGAACATATAATAAAGCTGTGTGTAAATCGGTATCTTATCTTTATATGGTATAATAAGGTGGGAAACATTTACTATGGTGTGAAAATGAAGTTAGTATGTCCGCAAAAATAATTATGAAATTGTATAATTTGACGTAAACAAAATAAAAGCTCGTGAGCAAGTCGTACACTGATAAAACAGAAACAATGCATTCAATTATTAATTGTTGTTATTTCTGAGTTTTAGGCGACAGACCAGTCAGATAATACTCATGTCAAAACAACTATGGCTGGTGATGTAAGGAAATTCGGAAACATTTAAGAATCCCTTCCAGCACGTTCAAAAAAATTATCCAATTGATTCCCACAAAACATAACGGGGAGTCTTGTCAAAGACCGTATATTAATAAGAAGGGAAAAGAGTGGTGAACCAATTTTTGTTGATGTGAAATGTGGCAAAGAACGTTTTTTAATAAGAAGGGAAAAAAATTGTAAATTGTTCATTGAAGTGGCTCTCGTTTAACAGACAGAGTGCGTGTGCTCTTTGGACCTTCTTTCGCACAATAAATTCACCTCGTACGGGTAATGTTATTATGTTTCCTGATCATTTTTACGGCGACGATGACATCGAAAACGACAAGTAGGCAAATGATGCGAATTTGATTTGTATTTATTTCAAATAATTTTGCTTCCATATTTCTTTGACGTAATAAATGAATTTTTGTAATGAAATAAAAAACTGAATTATATCCGTCATTATTGTATTTATCTTAAATTCTTAATCCATACGTTCTTTATTATAACACTACAAAATATGCGCAACATATTTGTGTTATTGCACTTTGAAGTCTGTACAATGTACAATAAGACGTCGATTGAGGCGACTACCGCAGTTATCGGTAATTTGCGAGCTCTAGATAAAAAGCGTTGTTTTATTGAAAAATTGATTGTGTTGTTACAAAATTGCCTTAATATATTTATTAGCTGGAAAAAGAAAAATTTTTATATAGTGCTAACTAATCTCATGAAGTTTCATCTCTCCTTAACTCTTTTGTTCGTGTATTACGGCTATAAAGTTTTTGCCGGTCCATCGGAGGATGGCTCTATAACACAAGGTTACTTGATTAATTTTGTTAATATCGCATGCAAATTTAAAATTAATCTTTTAGTTATATATTTGGACCCGGGCTCAAGGGTCGACTACCATCCGAGGACAGCTAACACTGGATTTTTCAATAAAGACTTGCGAATTTATTGCTTTCGTGGTACCCGAAAAGATTTAAGTCGTTTCTTCCAGAGCACTGAGCTGCATTTGGAAATTGAAAATGACGAATTTACACAATATGAAGGCGACTCTCCCACTCAAGTTCGGAAACATTTTAATGCGCGGCAGTCATTGTTTAATTTCAATTTGTTTGATAATAAGCGAACAAGTTTAAAGCTAACAACTTTTAAACAACATTGTATTGGCATTGTCACCGGACAACCTTACCGTGTACGTCTGCAGCAATTTCGATTTGATTATTTTCGCATTACTGAGTTTACTGTAGGTGTCTGCCTATTAGTATATGCAGGAAGACTTGGTGGAAATTCATTTTTCTTTTATCTCACTGGTATTGCGTTCGGTATATGTTCATCCTTCATGCTCATTATTTGGCTAACAAGCAAATTGATGCCCAGGTAACTTGAAGATTCAAAATTTGCTGCTCCACTAAATATAAATTTCTATAGGCGTCCTATGGTATATACCATGTTGATTAGCGGATGGTCGCTCGGTATTTACTTTCTTCATCGGCTTTGGAATAATATCCAGTTGATATTTCAGTTATATCGCACATACGTTATTTGGTATATAATAATAACAGGACTAACATCATTCTTCATCTGTTATCGCATTGGTCCACCAAAAAACAAACGTTCTAAAAATATAATTAAATGGATTTTACAAATAATAGCACTCGCGTTAATTTATTTTTCCAGCCAATATGAGGAAGCAAGCATCCTTATATCCACCATGATAATAGTAATGCATTATTTCCCTCATTCAATTTTTTACAAATTGGTTGCGATGTATAGGCGGTTTTTCCCTCCTAAGAGGCGTTTACTTACTCGTGAGGAATTTTATGAGGAAGGTATTAGAGAAACTTCAAAAGCATTGAACGAGTTAAGGATGTTTGCTAGCAGCCCCGATTGCAAACAGTGGAAAGTATGAATTTAAATTTTAATATACGATTTGAAAACTTCTAAGCGTATTTTATTTGTAGGTTGTATCAAAACTAAGCGATCCTGTTCGTTTTGCTGCTTTCGTTGAAGGTGAAAGCCACTTACGGGAAGAAGAAATTTCAAATTTTCACATCTTAGCACAAGCTCTGGAGTTTGATGTAACGGACTCTAGCGACGAAGAAGTTGTAAAAGAGCGTTCAAAAAAAGTATACGATGATTCCATTGATAGTGGGCATGGCAATACTAACCAATTGCAAAAACCTCAAAATTTCCCTTTTGATGAGTTTAACGTTGAAGAAAATGCTAGTAATAGCAAAAGTTACAGAACTTTTCAAAAAACAAATAGCGCCAAAAAAGAAATGCACGAGCATCGGTTATATTCAGGCGAAAGGTACCAAAAATATCAATCAAAGACTCTCAACCTACAAGTTAAGGGGGACAAAGACAATAAAAGATCTCGAACCCCACAAATTGACAAATCAAATGAATTATATTCAGGTTCGCTCGGTAGGAACAAAAAAAATATCCAAAAATACAATCAGCGTCAAAAAAGTATAAACTTCGATGATTATGGTAATTCCGAAAGTGATAATTAGCTTAAGACTTCGCCGAAATAATATAATTAAAATGAAAGCGTATTAGCTCGAGTACATTTTGTCAATTACTGAATCTATATATTACTTAGCTTAGAATAGCAGAATACCTCAATAAAGAGTACTTAACTCCCGACTGATATATATATATATATTACATATTTTTTTAGATTAATTTTAAATTTTAATGTTAAATATATCAATATTTATCAATGGAAATATTATGTCCACTCCAAGGAAACACTGTCTATACTAATTATCGTAAGATATGCAAATCTACCATGGGCAAATATTTTTTATACAGCAAATATTAGAAGAGGAGCGTTAGTTATAACCTCGCAAGAATTAGGAACTAAATCGAATCAATCCGGTAGGTACATCATATACCTCTTCATCACAACGTCTGTTTTATAGCCAGAGAAACATAATAACTTCCCAATAGCACTTGATCTTCCGACAGAGTTGCAATGGAAAAGTAAAATTCTTTCTCGACGAACAAGGACAATTTGCAAAGTAGAATTTTCTAAAGAGCAAATCACCAAAGTTTGCCAGCGTAAGTTCGGAACAATTTTTTATGAAATTTCGATGTCAATGGCTTTGTTAAGTTACACTTAATTAAATTCAATTGTAAATATATTTCATTTCTTATGTATGCCACAATGTATTTGTAATGGAGGGATAATGGAAAATACTTGTTCGAATTTATTTTTATGTCTGGTCGAGCCTAATTTCTATCCTGAAAATCTAGCCAAACCCCACCGTCTTGTTGAGTTAAAAATGATTTTGGATCCAGTTTAACAAAAGGTGTGCATTTGTCACTTAAATCAATTTTGAATTGTCGTAAAATTGATACGATTGCCGTCTTTGCTTGAATCATTGCAAAATTAATTCCTGAAAAATGAGAAGATAGATACGATTATTTTATGTAGGTTATGAATAAAAATTTATATAAACTTTGAATATGGTACATATTTTACCTAAGCACATACGAGGACCATCACCGAAACCTAAAAAGGCTCCAAAATGGCGTAGCATTTTAAGTTTATTTATGTTCTCGATAAGAAATCTTTCGGGCTTAAATTGGTCTGGGTTAGGATAATATTTAGCATCGTGGTGAAGGGCATATATCGGTATCATTACAGAATCACCAACATCCAAGGATACTTGTTCACCTCTTTTGTTGGTAAACGTATAGGGCATGGTGCACGTCTTGATGGACCACAAACCAGGAGGGAAAATTCTAATACTCTCTAAATTTATGAAATAATAATAGTAAGATAATTAAGTTGCGTTGTTAAAATTTAATTAAATTGTGGAACTATATATCTAATATATGTTAACTATTGTTTTGTCGAACTATACTTATACATATTTACCATATACACAGGCATCCAAATAGGGAAGTTGATTTATACTTTCGAAGCTTAGTTCGCCGTTTTTCGAGTTGCTTATGACCTCATTAAACAATTTCTTTTGGACAGTTTGATATCGTCCCAACTGGATTAAATTATAAGCAAGTTAAATAATAGACTATGGATGAATGAAAGGCATCTTACTAGAAATAGACAGTGTGATAAAACCGTGGCCGAAGTATCCAAACCTTCGATAAGGAGTGTCATTGTATACGAAATAAGATCTTTGTCATTGAGGTTATGATTCTCCTTTATCGAAAGTATATAATCCATAAAGTCATGATGACTTTTCGATCTTTTTGAACATATCTTAAAGGCATCTAGAATTAGTTTCTTAAAAAATTCTTCACATTTTCTTGGAATAAATTTTGCTTTGAATATTTTCACAATTTGGGGAAATAAACCTGCCATTATTGAGTAAATAATAAAACTATTGTTGTTTTCTGAAAGCATTTTAATATTTTCGACGAGTGGTTTGATTGGATCCGTGGAGGTAAAGCCGAGTACACTTTTTGCTATATTTGCAGAAGTAAATCGTAGTGCAATCTGTGGAAATAAGTAAAAGTTTAAATTAAAGTTATGGGTTAAATTTATAAGTTTAGGTTTGTGCTTTGTTTGTCTCTTTCATATATTTTTCAATAGCTATCTAAGACATGAGTAATCGACTCAGGAAAATTAACAGTTAATATTATATATATTGCTTTGTAGCCGCTGAAGCGATCTAACCTGCCAAGATTACAATTAATCAACTCCGATCGTTAGTGTAACAATACATTCATTGCTAATGCTAATGCTAAGACCCAAAGGATAATATATTTCAAAAATTATTATGTTTTATCTAACCTATTTTCCATTTAAAAACAGCAACTTACATCTTTTCCATTTAGACCGTTAGCAGAATGTTCCATTTCCATTTGTCGTTTCAAGTACTCACACCAGGATTTGGAAACTGATTGCATTATATAGTATACTGTTCGAAGTCGGCTTATTGTAACGCCTGGTGAAACCATTGCACGTTGCTCGCGCCATTCTTTGCCACTCAGAATGAAAGGATTATTTCCTAACAATACATCCTTGTTTTTGTCAATCTAAGACCCGATTAATCTTCAGAAATTATTTTCAATAAAACATTTTGTGTGTATTATTACCAGTTTAGCGATATCATTTGAATTAAAATTTTTAAAAGAAGTTACAAAGATGTCATGTACGAGCTTTGGATCTAATATCATAAGCTTCGGGGAACGTAGAAGAAAAACGCCAACGTAACTTTCACATTTGTTGTATTTTCTAAATCAAATATTCATAAATCAAAAACCTAATTTTGGTAAATTGTGAAAATGTCACGCTCTTGCCTATAAATACTGTTGATGTCGTCCGCAAAATGTTTATTTTTCATTATTAAACCAGGGAATGATCCAAAGAACGGCACCGGACTTGGCCCTATTACACCGCGAATACGCCAGTATGTGAAGTTCCAAATCAAAAATAGATAGATCATGGTAATAGTGGCAATCAATAATATCAGTATTAATGAAAACATGTCTTTATTTGACTCATAAAAGTAAATTTATTTACAAAATCCGTATCTAATATCAACTACTCCACTTGAGAATCCCAAAATATATAAACATAGCTTGAAAAATAAATTGTATTTATATACGCACGTAAATAAGTACTACTTATGTGTACATTCATACATACATACGGGAAGATTTCATTTTAATTTAATTTCGTGACTGTAAACGGCGATATTACGAAAGTATAATTAAATAATAATACTTTATGTAATAAAGAAGTTATGGATAGAGTTTAGCATTATATACTCAAGTTAACGTTTAGGCATATTTTTCAACAAACACATCTCATAACAAGTTTTTAGAAAATGTAAAGTCACGCGATCGGTAAAATTTGGCTTGATTGTGGAGATCATATATATATGTATGTAGCATTAAACATTTACTTTTTTAATTTTGTATTATATATGTATATGTCTTTAAGTATGTCGAAATTATTTCAATACACTTATTCCTCACTAATATTATTTGTCACATTTAAATCGAAAACTTGACCTTCTTTTTGGTATACTTGAGCATCGAGGAAACTCTCGCACCACCATTTGCATTCTTCTAGGAGGTCTTCATCTTGCTTACATTCATACCAATATATTCGCTCAGTATTTCCACCAATTGATTTGTTCAGCAAACGGCGACGATGATCTCCACGATGCAAAATGTCAATATAACCCAACGTATCAAACGAGTCAAAATTGTTTACTATTTCATTTGAGATAATTTCAATATCAATGTAGTCATCAACAGTCTCCATCAACTCCCGTACAGATGAAATAATCATATCTATACGTTGCATGTCAACTTTCTCATGTGGTAATATCCTCGCCCTTACCGCTGCTACTTCTTCAGCTACACGTTGTTGGATGCGAATTAACGATTGTTTTTTTGCAGCTTCATAAGCTAAATGTTTTTTTTCTAGCCTAGTTTCTATTTCTAATTTTTCTTCGTCGACACGTTTGCGCGACATTAAAATGCTTAGCAAACGATTTAGATTCAAATCATCCCACATACGTTTCATTCGTTCAGTGTACGAAAGAGCCTTAGATTCATCTCTTAAATTGCAAAAAAAAAGTATATAAAACCTATATGTACTTCACATTCAAATATACGTATAAATAATATCTAGCATACTTATTATCATCTGCATTGTCCTTAACCTTGCGTGTTGCATTGATTAAGTACTCTTTTTCCAGACGTTCCACCTCTTTTCTTGTATCAATTTCGGCTTGACGCTTTGCTTCAATTACATCACGGTTGTTTTCGAAGTACACGTATTCCCAAGTCTGTATAGATTTTTTGCGGCTTTCTTCTTTACTAAAATATTCTTTAACTTTCTGTTTATGGCAAAAACATTAATAATATATCCAACTGAATGTACATGCATACATACAACAAAAGATATGAAGGTATTTTTAGTGTTTTTAAGTGCATACCAGAAGTAATTTGCAATAAAAACTCTGTATTTCAAAGCTGGAGAAAAAACAACATATTTGGTGAGCCCCTGCATACCCTATACTTAACTAAAAAAGAAGATATCTTGACGAAAATCGGATGAAGAATATTGATGTATATATATTCGTATATATATATATATATATATATATATTTTTTTTTTTTTGAAAGTACACTTATAAGAATGACGATAATTTTAAGTTACCCACTCAGTGGTATTCTTCTCAGTGGGACCCGAGTTATAATTTATAAAAAAAATAATTTATAAAAAGAGCTAAACGGAGTGTAATGGTACTCTATTAAATAATTTGCTTATACGAACCTCTAATTCTTTAGGCTCTGGGATGTAAAAACTTTGCGGTAACTTCATCATTCGGAAACTACTATTGTAATCACCGATACCTAGTAGTTTTTCAGGTTCTGATGGTCGATGTTCCGATATGGCTGTTATTATTCCACCCCCCAGAATATCGTTATAGCAAGCATCATCGTCACGTGCTTCACATGAAAATATGAAAAGATTTAAGGGCAGGGTTCCTCTCAAAAATTAAATAATATAATCGAAATTTTTTCATGTAACCTGCTAGAAAATACTTTTAGAAATAATATAGAATCAGTTTCGCAGGCCCGCAAGACCAAGAAGTAAGTATATGAAAGGGAAGAGCGGAGCGCGCCAAAGGCAAATCCGACCGGTCGAGCACTTTAATCGCCTCAAAACCACGTTTTTCAACTAGATGACACTCTATTTATTTGAATCTATCAACATGAACTAATCGGTATTTTACTACCAAAATGTCTCTCTATGGCCGGTACTACAACCAAAAATATTCGTTGTTATTTAAAATATTTATAAACAATTTGAAAAAAGGGTAAACAAAATTAAAAATTGTTCAGTCTTTTTTTTGGAATAATGTCAATGTGATACAGAATAAGAAACTGTTTTGATTTTTGCTTTCAGATGATTCGCTGTACAGTTGTCGTGACACCAACAAAAGGGTCGTGTCTGTGTCTCAACAGCAATTTTAAGAGCCGCCATTAAAAAAAAAAAAAACGTTTTAATAAATAAAATTTGTTTGAAGAAAAAACACATACTTTAGGGGATCATGGCCTTAAAGCAATGCGCTGGCCTTAATCTTAAGACTACGAGAATGTGGTGTCAGGCGAGTGTTAATATTACTCAATCTCCTACAATCTTTTGCAAGAGTATACAACTGCTGGCGTATACTAATGACATTACTTGACATGCTGCTTTGGATTGAGAAGGCAATTGAAAATTAAAGAAATCTCTCGACAAACAAAAACTAAACTCTACAAGTCACTCATCGTTTCCGTCCGGTCGTATGTAGCAGAAGCATCAACAATGTCGACATTATCATGGGTTCTCCTACAAAGAAGTTTTGCAAACGATGGAACTATGATCTATAGGCGTTATACGCTGATATTGATATAGTTCAGAAATCGAAGAAACACCTTATTAAGTATTGGAAGAGGGATAGCTGGTTTCACATGGTATTATCAATTGGCGCGCTATTGTTGAGTCGGCTATAATCGCGTAAATGGTGCCTAGGCCAATGAAGAAAAAAAAGTTTCGATCAAATGAGAGGTAAAATATTGCGAAGCTATGAAAAGAAAAAAGATTTTGCTGAATATGCTTCCATTTTATGCTAAAAAGAATCTAATAAAATCAATAACGTTCGGTAAACTTTGTCGACTAATACGAAAGAAGACTTCCAAACTCATTTTTCTTTCTGAAAATCTAAGCGACAAGTCGTTGCAAAGCAAACTATACTTCAATATTCCCTTTAACTTAAAACTATCAGAAAATATATATTTAACGGTATTTTTATAGTTTTGCGGCCATTAAACAAGTAGAATTACGTGATTCTTGAATTATAATAATTTTTCAATGCAATTAACTAAGTAGAAACGCCATAAAATTATTCATTTAATTAATATACTTAGTAGATAATATTAAAGTGTATAAATGAGCGCTGTCAAATGTACAGTTCTCAAATAAACAGTTGCTATACAACTTAGTGACTAATTTTTACTGAAACCCGGAAAATGTCCCAGAACGAATTTAAAACTTCCCCTAAAAACAAAAATTTAAAAATGTGGTATCTTATTACGAATGTGGTTCTGACCATCAGGTAACCGAACAGAACTAATATGTATGTACATGTATGTATGTAATTCAAAATGATGTCAATTACCTAGAATATCCCAAGCTTCCATGTTTCCGTCAATACGAGTAAGAAAGAGCATTCCAGGACGAGACTCACTCCACGCTACAGCTGTTAAATCTGCAGAACATTTTCTCCAAAATACTGGTGAATAGCTAAAATTTTCCTTCCATACGGCAAATATAGTACGACCAATAGAAACAAAGACAACTGGATAAAATGGGTTCTTTCTTATAGCTATTACTGGTCCATCGTGAACTCTTGCAAAATTTATTGATTTAGAGACAGTCTCGCGACATTCCTCATCGGCATATGAGCCCAACCAATTCAGCCTTTCAATATGTCCATAAAATGAGGAAGTTATAACTGACTGTCGTATTTCTTTCGGATCCATTGGCTCAAGAATTGTGAAAAAATTATTAGAATTAATTCTTTTCCTTTCTCCATCTAGAGCTTTGCAGTGAAATACAGACGAATCGCAAAATAATGAGGTTATTGGTTCATTAAATACAACTGTAAATATAGGCTTTATAACTTTATTTTTATAGACTGACTCGCTCTGTGTCAAAGCTTTGGGTTGTTCATGCCTCAATGTTCCAGCTTGTAGTTTCCTATCGTTCGTTGAATCCAAATCCCAAAAAGAAATCGTTCCATCCACAGAACAAGTGAGAAAGAATTTATGTACAAATTCTTTATTGGGATCAGTTAGGGTCTTGCCAAAAGAATTTACGTAAAAGTGATGACCCAGCCAATATATACCAGTGATAGCAGATTTCTGGGACACTTCCAATGCTGATGACATCACAGGCGGTACAATAGCATCCTCGTTTATCTGTATGGTCCATTTTAAAAAATCTGCTATTAACACACGATACTTCGATTGTGCTGCTGTGAGAATCTCTTCAGTATCGAGCTTTTCTGCACGACCTTGTAGGTCCCAAGCTAAAATTTGGCCATTTTTACCGCCACCAAATAAAAGATTTGGGTCGTGCGGGCAAAATGATAGCACGGTTATCTCTTGCGGCGACTCGAATTGTAGTTTGTAGTTTAAATTATCAGCGAAACTCCACATCAAAATAGGGTTGGGTTGTAACACAGCTCGCTGTACTACGTCCACAGGTTGTGTTACTGAAATATTTTCTGTTATAAGACGCAAATTTTTTCACAAATTATATACTTAATTCAACAGTAGCGGGAGTATTAAAAGTGTAAGATGTTACAATCAATCCCGACAAAGTGGAGTACCAATCAATCCCACAAACGTAGCGTTCGTAGCTCTTCGAGATGTTAGCAAAGCATAATATTTCTTCCAAATGCGGCGTGGAGTAGTGTTCAATAGGTTTATTGCAAATGTATGCGTAGTCATTGCTATAGTTAAATAAATTTAAAGAGTAGTGCATTAATTTTCGTCATTTAACATATTATGTAGTACTTGTGCGAGTGATTATAAGAATATGTTTTCCAAGTGTATATAAAACAAGGATTCACAATAGCGAAGTGTTTGCAGACAGAGAGATGGTAAAAAGTTAGTAACAAAAGAATCGGAAGTTACAAATCCAAATTAAAGTCAACAGCAATAACACCCACTTTCCGATTTAACGGCTCACCAAAATAAAACTTATGGAAGAACTCATCAATAAAATTAAACAAGTTGTTGAGTGCTATGAAAATTATCCATAAATAATTTCCCTTCTGCTCATTGGGACCTTGAACGATCCAAATATATGTGAGAGGAAAGTTGAAACCCACAAGTGTTACTGTAAAACTGAAGTTAATTTCATTGTGTAGAAAGGGTGAAGCTTAACATATTTTTGGAAATTTTTGTTTAATAGATGAATGAACTCAATGTTCGTTAAACACTTTTGAGCTCTTAGGATATTACTATCAATTCTTCTATATATTTGTACCAAAAGGGGTAAGCGGTGCGTGAATTAACGAAAATTTGGAGCTTACCGATACATGTCAATTTGATTAAATTCTAGGGTTTCCAGTAAAAGCCGAATATTTGATGAAAGTTCAGGTGGGGACTTTTGAATTCGAGGTTCTGGTGATGACTGCAATTGATCTTTTGAGACTTCTTCCTCAGATGTTTCATCTATTCCCTCTATGGTATTAATATAATGTATTTTTAAGAATATATATACAATATGTTGGATAAATATTATATAATTTATAGAAACCTCCATCAGTTATTTCATAAAAATATTGTGACCAAGCATTTGTGGGAAAAGTGGGGTCCGTTTGTTGCTCCAAATCAATTAAAGCTGGAGCGGATTGAATACCTATAGTTACACGTCTTCGAGTTATGTTTTCAAATTTTATCATATCGCTGGGCAAAAGCTCAACATATCCATCTCTTACATCCGAGGATTTACGTAAAGAAAATTCTTTAACCTGGGGTATTTTTAATGGATATACGCTTTGTACTTCTACCTCCAAAGGAATTGTTCGAGTTTGTTCTATGGTCATATTCACTTCATTCTCACTACCCAATGAAAGCCACCTACGTGGTTTCTTTATCAAGCGCTTGTTAATTACCCAACGTTCATATAATTCCATGTTGCGAATTACTGTCAAGGCTGTTTTAGCGTCTGTTGGGTTTAGGAAAACAATAAAAGGATCGCCCTCAGGAATATCGTCTTGGTTTTCCGTTAAAATAGGCGCGTAACCAAACAATATATGATCCTCTAAGCTACATCCTTCAAGAGCGGTATTTATAAAATCGCCGTACTCTATGTTTTCCATATGGTCTATTAAGGTTTTGTATTTTATTTGTTTCCACGGGAATTCTTGAGTAACATTTAACCCAACCAATAGTTGTAAACGACGTTGCACAATTTCCCTGTTTGTTGAAATGTGTAAAATTTTATATCCGTTATACATAATATACATATACACATATGCATATGTCTGTAAACATATCTCTACAAGATATTACGTACTTCAGCATTATTTGATGACAAGATGGCAAGCTAAAGAGACTTCGCCAAGCTTCAGCGATATCATAATTGTTTTCGGGATTGTCTTCATCATCAGATTCGGGTTCGCGCCATTTCTTCACATGAAGCTTTCCGGTCGTTATCCTTGGAATAGTAAGATATTAACAAGTAAATAAAGAAAATTAAAAGAAAAAAGGATACCTACAATTGAACATCCGATCCATCCTCGGCATCGACCTCATCTTGTTCGGTAACAGCAGTATTCAGAATGCTGGGCTTAGCCAAATGAATCCGCGATTTTTTCCGCCGTGCTTGTGGCTTCATGTTCAGACTGGTAATAGACTTTGACATTATAGTGCCTTTTCTCTTTTCAGTTTTCTTTTTGAAAATGAATTAAAGAAGTAACAAACTTGATTTTTTATTTGTCTACTCAGAAAAATCACGATGAGAAATTTGTTTTCGATTGCCATGACAACATAGCCAGAGTTTATTAAATTTATTTATGGAACATTTGGCGTGTGTTATGTACTAAGGATCTTAAATAAATTTTGCATAATGCTATATAATTTAATAAACTAAAGTGTGTAGGGTATAAATATAAATAAGTAATAGCGGCTAAATTAGCGAACTTAATAATTGTTGGTTAATAATGAATTGAATAATACAACAATAGATTATATTGTTGGTTCGATCCCTGCCATAAGAAGTCTGATGAGGAGATGTGGTGATCTCCGAAACAGCTGTCACTTCTACCATTTTTCTTTGTTGTATAACAAATATTCCATTCTTACAAACAACAAGGCCTCGTAGTTTACTTAATAATTATATCAAAAAATATTAAGATATGAGTAAAGTTACTGATTTATCTTATTATTCACTGTAAGCAGACATTTTTAATAATTCTTACTAATATTATATTATGCGTGAGTGTGTAATTTTTTTTTACGCTTCAACGTTAAAACTACTCAGCATTCTGAATATGTACAGCTGTTGCTGAACAAGATAATGTTGATGACGAGGATGGATCGGATTTTCAATTCTAGATATTGTTTTCTCTTTTAATTTTCTTTTTTAAAATCTTATCACAGGTATTTCGATATGTATTCATTTTGATTTGTGTTCAAGAATTTCCCGAAAAACATGGGACATTTTTTACATCTTACAAAATACTTCACGTACGCCACTTTACTCCAGATCTACTTATGAAAGCGTCAATATAAACCCTCTCACAAAATTCAAGTCTATCTGAACACACTCATACGCATTTTATTTTTATTTAAATTTCAAACAATTAATTAATAACTTAAAGCTATGTTCATATCCAATGAATAGAAAGCATTAAGATGAGAGCCATATTAGAATCTCAGAGAGTGCTCTGAAAATAGGATTGTAGCTGTGATAATTCGTTTCAATTGTAATAATACGGAAATACAACCAATATATATAAATAGTTTTAAATCAACTGTATTAAGCAAGAAGTTTGAATTTTTAAAGCAAGTTCTAATATCATTTATAAAAAGAAGAAATAATAAAGGACTAATAAAACTAACTTGAGTCCAGAGGTGGCATCAAAGGCATAAGATCTTGTATTCTCTATTTGAACAAAGTATATAGTATATCAGAGAGATATTATGTAAGCCAAAATAGTAAATAACAATGAATATCTAGGCACCCTAGCTTTCGTAATAAAACGCTATGCGCGACATTATCGAAGGCTTTGGAAGAATCGGTATAGACGACATCAACGTCAGTTTCAAATCAACCATGCATTCCTAATACAACTGTGTAAACTTTGACGATGCATCATTATTTTTAAACATTATATTACTTAGTTTTTGATCTATATATATATTTTAGCCGTTTTACCTAAAAACAACTTATTTACACGAAAAGCGTTTGAAAATGTTGGAGTTTGCCAAGTATTGTTGCAAAGCAAATTTATAGAATTCAGGGTTGCATTGTAATAATGCGTATTTTGACGTTTCGGAACTCGCCCATACTTTTCAAATATGAGGCAGCACAGTTTTTTCTGATTCTAACGGACATGTATAATTCATATTATTTCCTAAAGTAAACCAACGTGAGAATGCATTTTTTATGTGTAAAAATACGGAAAATATTAATATTTTGATAAAATTAATTAAATAAAATCGTTGTAATAGCTTCTTTCCACCGGACGTTTAATGCATTTTAGCTTAATTCCATTTCAACATCGCTTTGAAATGCGTGAATTCCCATGTGTTTGTTGTTGTATATAAGGGTGTTAGCTCACTTTCGGTAATTTAGCCGAAAATATTATGTTAACAGTCGTTGCTGTCACTACTAATGTAATCATTTCGGAAGTTTCGGTATATTTCTTGCCAGAGTCGTGTATTTTCGGATTTTATGAGAGATGATACTTTTATTTTGCATGGTGAAATTTTTTCTGCAAAAATTATTTCTTTGCATTGTTTTAATATAAATGCATATATTAAGTAATTGGCGAAGAGAATGCTTCCTCCTCTTTCGAAAAATACAATAACAAACAACCAAAACTATTTTGGAATTTCAAACGATTCCCCAATATAAAAATATGCTTTGCTGATGCAGCTATCAGCTGATTTACCAAAATAAATAATTTGAGAGAACAAGCAAGCAAATATGAAAATGGAAACATGCATAAAATCATTTTCGTTTCAGCAGCGTTTGTCCGTGCAGAAGTAATCTGCACGTGCAAATCATAAACAAATTTTGCAGACTACAAATGTAAACAAAAAGCAGCTGTTTGTGTTAAGTCCCTTTCGGTGGAAACGTTTGACATTTCATTCACTTAACATTAGCCTTAAATGCATTTAAGTGCTCGGTGGAAATAGGCTATTAATTAACAAAATTGTTACAGTATGACGTATCGTTGGAGTATACATCGATATGCAATAGTCTGACATATCGAAGTGCAGTGCTTTCGACGCCTTTGCACAGAACTTCTTGCGCTGCTTATAAACATCGATATCAAATTTTCATTCCTGTTTACTAATGCGTAATATTTTAGTGAATGCCGCATTCTTTTTACGTAGAAGGTAATATTTTTGTTTGCAATATGTATTTTATTTCTAATGTGATTCATCATAGTTCTGTAAGACGTTTGTCTAATATAGGAAAAATGTCTAGCGAGGTTGCCAAGGCTCAAACAGCTAGCGCAAGTGAGGATACCATTTTCGGAAAAATCCTCCGAAAAGAAATTCCTTGTAAATTTATCTACGAGGACGACAAAGTAACAATAATAAAACGTCAAATTAGTTTTTATTAATATTCATATCAATTTTTTTTTTTTATAAGTGCGTCGCTTTTCATGACATCAACGGCCAGGCACCAAAGCATTTTCTTGTTATTCCAAGAAAACCGATTGTTCAATTATCAAAAGCTGTTGAAGACGACAAGGAACTACTTGGACATCTTATGCTAGTAGGTGCAAAGGTTGCAGAAGAACTCGGATTAGAGAAAGGATATCGCGTTGTTATAAATAATGGGCAACACGGCGCTCAATCTGTTTATCATTTGCATTTACATTTCCTGGGTGGACGTCAAATGCAATGGCCTCCAGGCTAAGTGCATCCAAATTACAGAAAAATGACAAAGAAATAAAAGGATAAATCAATTACGCTTAGTTTTTTTTATCTTTTTAAAAATATATTTAATATTAATCGATGTTCAAGGGACTACTATACTACAATTTGGAAGTAAGAAGGTAAATTTAAATCTATACGACTATGCACTCGGTTTAAGGACCAATTATATATTCATGGTTTCACATACACGTGTATATACATTCACATTATAATTATGTGATTAGTCTAATTCCGGATTCTGTACTGGTATATTTTCTTCGTTCCGTGGATACACTGGAAGACTCACGCGACTGATTTTTTTTCTCAATCACTCTATCAAAAAAACGAGATAATTTTACAGCATCGGTTGTTCCTGCAGCAAAACTGCGGGGCTCCCTGCAGTTCAACCATATCTCCTCTGAGCCGCAATGCTCCGCTGTAAAAATTATTTTTTAGTTTTGGATACTTTCTCAATCTCTAAAACTTACCTATAGAACCAATTTTCTGTATTGTCTTTTGATTTCCTTTATCATCTAAAAGATCCAACTTTGCACCAATTACCAATATTGGCAGTTGCGTGGATCCTAAAAATTGTTCCGGGTCAAACATATCACTGCTAAACATTTTTGACTCTTTTCCATCCTTATTAAGAATTTCGTACAACCATTCCCTTAAATTTTCCTGACTCTTCCGATTTGTCAGATCATGTACCAGAATGATGCCATGTAGAGCCGCATAAAAGACACTTCGTGTATTTCTGTGACTGATTGAACCACCAACATCAAATAACTCGATAAAATATGATCGTTGATGAGGCGTTCCTTCTCTATACTCATGTAATTTAACTTCTATATTGCATCCTACAGTCCAACCTGGACGAGGGAGCGATTCACTGTGAGCTATTAAATGTACTAAACATGTTTTTCCAACCCCTGAAATAATATTATTTATTAATCAAAACCAAGACAATGCGTATATACATAAATATGTCTAGATATCGTAAATAGGGGGATATTTGTTTGAAAAAGACTCACCAGAATCTCCAACTATCAGCACCCGAGCTTTATCGATGTTATTAGCCATTTTATTATGGCCTACATAAAAACCCGATGTAAACTAATTATCACTTTATGTTGGTTTGGTTTATTGTTCCCTTTTTATAATTATGCGAGCCAAGGTAAATTCTTAACACGAAAGCGTCAAGCATTTAGGCTGCGGCACGACAACGACAAACGATTGAGCTTTTCTTTTGTTTTCATTCGTTTCTAATCGCATACGTTCTTCTAACAGCTGTTTTCTTCTTTTACCGACTGCTGAATTTCTCAATTAGAATGATAATTGGTAATTGTGAAAAAAGTGAGGCAATAAACCAGTAAAATTTGCACCGAGAGAACTTAGCATTAACATTACGTTATTGGCTAATTCTTATAGACAATCCTCAGCGAACAGTTCTTATGATTTGCTCGATTATATGTTATTTTATTTCTATTCATAAGCGCAAAAATCTTGACAATTGTGATATGTGATTATGGTTTGCATGAAAAAAAGATTGAGTTTATACACGTTTACAATCGAATGAATTTTTCGTGTGTTTGAAAAAAAAACCAATTTCGGTCATTGTTGCGGAAGTAAGTATGTTGATCTGATCTCACCTTTATGAATTCGACTTGGCTGTGACTGCGACAAAGGCTGCAACTACCCAACGCGCGTACCAGCCGTCCATAGTAACCTATCTATGAGAGCGCCATGTAAACACAAAGTTATCACCGCTTTCCCATAGCGTTGCTGACGTTTGTGTCGCAGAAACCAACGAAGTTTTGATTTTTCCGTAAAACCGGCTCGGCTCATTTTTCGTTGCTATACAAGGTTGCCAGTATAGCCTTTCTTAAAGTAACATTGAATAATCGAAGATAATGCGTAGTTTTGTTCAAAAGAAATAAAAAATAAATGCATAACTAATTATTTGTTACCTTATAGATTATGTATATTTGCCTTGTTTTTATGTTCCAGCAAATAAATTATGAAATTTGTTGACGAAAATTATGAATTTGTTCAGAAGTGTGCAAACACACAGGCAGCTGGCAACATTTCTCCGCTCTCAGCGGCGTCGATAACTCGTGTATGTATTTCACTACTGACGTCGTCAGTTATGGACGGCTGGTACGCTCGTTGGGTAGTTGCAGCCAAAGGAATGGAACGGAGAGTTCATGCATTTAAGCAAACCCAATTTCGACCTAATCTCACGTTAATGGCAAAATCAAAATGCACAGAACTTAGCTCCCCTGAGAAGGCATCCGATCAATTTAGCCAACCTATATCAGGAACCCTGCGAGAAGGCTTCCGATCATTTGCTCGTAGAACATAAATCATAATCATCATGGCTTACATAGCATATAAAAGAAGTAACAATTTTCAATAATCATTCAAAAAAATATTCAGTCAGATACTGGGATACTGGGGATACTTTTTGTCGACGAAACACTCGTTTGTAGGGGAGGGGGCGACGACGAAGGCGGCAGGGCAATGTGTCGCTGTGCTCTTTCGACACGTGATGTGTTTCTATTCGTATCTGTAAATTTTGGTGTTCCCTTTTAATTTGTTTTTCACTTTGAACTGCTTAAATTTCAAACGAATAAATGTAAGTTTTGAAATTGAAATTTGGGTTTTACTACAATATTTATATGTGCATGCAAACATATATGCCTGTGCGCATATGTATCTAATTATCTAATTATTAATTTTTCAGATAGTGGAGTTTGCAGATAAAGTTAATTAATGCAAGAAATATCAGAATGGATAGATGAAGCCTTTGGGATTAATTCTGATGATAGCGAAAAGGATGAGATATGTAATTATATTACACTTTGAAAAAGATAGAGTGGATGTTTAATCAAATGTAAAAATATATAAAATAACTAGATAAATAAAAGCTGTATCTTCCTTTACACAAACATAATGCTTTTATTTTAGAAATATTAAAAGAGCAAACGAAAAATTGCGAGTGTGAAATAAAGCGGAATAGAGAAAAAAATGAAAATGACATAAGTAAATGTCATGTAAGCTCAGTCTAAAGGGGTTCACATTCCGATTATTGGTTTGCATTTTGGGTTCATTTTTGAAACAGAATTTATGTCGATTTTAGGTGTTACAGAAATCGATATATCGGTTTAAATGTCAGAATTAAACAGATCAGTTATTCGTTGACAGAATTGTGGGCAAATTTCTTTGCAAGAGGAAATTTAATAAAAATGTGTGAACAATGGATTTTACAACGACCAATGCCTGGAGTACAGTACTTGAAGTAAAAATGGTCCCGAGCTCTCCGTTTTTCATTGTCATTCATTCCAAAAATTATTCAGCGTGAGCAATTCAAACGTACAAAAGCCTTTAACATTTCTTTAATAAACACAGATACTGTCGCGCTAAGAAGATATTCGAATTCCACAGACCGTTAAGAGGAGCGATCTGCCAAAAACCGCAGTGTGACTGCAAGTCGGAGCACATATGGAATAGATGAGACAGCCTATCTAACTGATCTTCAATGACATCCAACACTAATACAAAAGCTTCTTTGTTAAGACGATATTGTTATATGAATCTATATACTCGTACAATCAAATTTTGTATCAACAAATGTAAAAGTAGAATGCGAATCGCAATTCCATCGACTCTGGTAGCTCTAGGGGAGTGCTCTTATCCCTTACAAATTTTGCGCTTTATATTCTGGATTATTGCCCCAATCCTTCTATCTTCAAAAATGCTATTACTGCCGAAGCCATTTTATTTTTAATAATCACAAATGTGTTAAAACTAGTACAGAAATTAAAATGAATTGCTGTTTTTTTTTCACAAAATAAAAACAATGTAAAGAGTAATGAAAAATGAAGTAGTTAATTAATCGACAATATATTATATTATTACCACAGCTTGTACAAGATCCTGATCTATATTTTTCACATTTTTATGTTCTCTGCTATCTGCTGCAGAGAAAACGATAAAAATGGCGTTCTACTCGAAAATTAGCACATAAAATAAAATGGATTATCCATTTAATTACATTCTCCTTCAATTTGTATGTACTCAGAAGAGAAAGATAAAAAAATGTGCTTATGTATTAGTATCAGAGAACTCACTCACTGAGTTTTCAATGAACAGGTTTCAGTAAAAATTAGGCAGCAAGTTGTATAACTGCTGCTTATTTTCACATGTCTATTCTCACTGTTACCGGTAAAGTAAATTTTGTTACTTTTTTTGGTATTCTAGCGCACAGGTTACATTGCTACCAAAGTAAATTTTATTACCTCGCCAGAACAAACATTGGAAAAAAAATGAAAAATATTAAAATAAAATTAGAATTATTTGAATCTCTTCAAGAACGAATTTATTATATCTCGTTGATTTCATTTCCCTCACAAGTGGTAAGAAATTTAAGAAACTCAAATGTAAGTATTTAAATTGGGAATTATATAGTATTTTTTACAAATGGTTGTATTTTGGAAAGTAGTAGAAAGAAAAAAAAGAAAAGGTAACAAAAAAAGGGAGTTAAAAAGTAAGAGAAATAGTAAGTAATTTTAATGGTATTTATTTTATTTCATTATTTTAAAATCGAATTAAATAGCTTTGAAATTAAAATATATCCATATCTGCTAAATCATGTGCATATATGATACCAAAATTTATCGATCCATCGATGTGCAAAATAATAAAATTATAGTAGTTAAGTAACTTTTTATTGGTTAAATTAGAAAAATTTGCATATATTTATAACATACATTTTGTTTGAATAACTTAAAATATTATATGTATATATGCATGCAAACATATATTTAAAACAAGTTCGTTATAATATGTATGTATGTAACAGTATATTACAATTGCTTCAAAACAAGTTAATAACAGTATTGATCTACTTAGAACTAATAGCAGAATTTCTCTAAAAGTTTCACATTAGTTGTAATATATATTATTATTTTATATATAATGTATTACAATATAATTTGTTTTGTTTTTAATATTTGTATTCAAATGTTTAATGAGTTGGTGCATGCGAGTCTTGAAAAAAAGCTTTTATACATCCGTACCTATTGTTACATGTTCAGAACGAGAAAGAATATATTTTTTATTCTTTCCTAATTCTAAATCGGAATGTTCGGGTTCAAATCCCGGTGCCACCCATATCCAAAAGTTACGTAAATTTAATTTATACAAAAAATTAAGTTACATTATCTAATTGCGGTCGCTCCTCGCAAGGAATGTCTACCCCTCCGAGGGTGTTTCGGACATGACAATAAAGCTCCTCGTAAAAAGACCATCAGCCGTTCGGAGGCGGCTTAATATAAACTGTAGGTCCCTCCATTTGTTGGAAATACGTCAAGCCACAAAACAAAAAATTGGAGGAGTAGCTCGTCCGAAAATCGCTTCAGCGGCTACAAAGCGTCTATTATACAAACAATTTCACTTACTTAAGTAAAATTCTTATTTACATTCTGGACCCAAGTCCCAACATTCGACATTTATAATTTTATGGTAAAATAATCGCCAAATCGGTGTCTGTGGGGGCGTTAATACGTAAGTACCATTATCACAATTAAAAATATCTTCCGGTATTTTTAAAGTACTCTGCTATTTTGGAATTACATACCCGGCCAAAATTACCTGTGGAAAGTGGTAAAATAGCGAGTTCAATTACTTAATACAACACAAGATCGACTTATCCGCAAAGTCTTCAAGAATCACAATTAATTCACAACTTCAACGTGTTTACGTTTCGCAGATTCCGCAATAAGAAAATATAATTATTTTAATAATTGTCAAAATACTGAATCAACCAATCAGAAGAGAGTATGTGATGCCTACCAAACGTTTTCATAAAAAACTACGTATTTAGCTACTTTTTAAAAATTTGTTATGAAAGAAATGCTTTTTTTTACAAAGAAGCATTTTGGTTTTTTAGTAAGGGAGCCTTTGTGTCAAGAGGGAGCGAGAAAGTTGTTTACTTATCCAACCTTTAATTATTGAATCATGGTTACTAGCTAATTTTTACTGACATTCTCAACAAACACAGCTAATATTATTTTCATTTTACAGCCATTTTGGTTTGTTGACAAAAAAAACATTCATTTGATCACAAATCAAAAATCTATTTTGCATACTTGCTGGTTTTGACTGGCTGAAATTTTCCCAGCGCGCATGTGCATATTTCTATGCAAGCCAAACGTCAAAGAAAGAGTATTTACGGCGCTACTTTTACATTATGACAACGCACCATCCCACATTGGTGAAATAACGAGTAATTTTATTTCGATCTCTGTCATCGAATAAATACGTCCAGCACCATATTCCCCGGATATAGCACCTTGTAATTTCTGGTTATTTCTAAAAATGAAAAAAAAATTAAAAGGAAAGGTTTTTAATACCAAAGAGGAAATAAGGCGGGTAATGCTGAGTTTGGTAAGCTTAAAAAGCTAGATTTTGAAGACTGTTTTCAGAAGTGGATCTATAGGCTTGAGAAATGCATTGAAATCAATGGCGATTATGTAGAGAAGAAAAAAAGAACATAGATTAGGAAGAAATGCAAAAAGATTTTTTCCCGTTCTTTTTTTCTGGTCACCTTATTGAACTTTTGTCAATCCCCTCGTATATGCATATAACTACTCGGTTATGGTTAAGTATGTATTTTTATATATTTTGATTTGCAATGCATCTCTCATAATTCGTGCAATGATTAGCTTGACTTTAGCGACATTCAAGACATCGTTCAATAAAAGTTGACAGCACTATTTAATCAAATTTGAATAACAATTTATATAACATCGAATTCAATATTTATTTATTATTTATTGGTTATAACTGAATTTAGCATTTACAGACGATACAGTTTGAAAACATTATTCACCTTCTCTTTTCTCAGAACGCTATTTACTTTAGTTTAGTCATATTGATTATTACCATGATTTTTATTTGAATCTGGACACTATGGAAATGTTCGAATACTTACGTTTTCAACGCAAAAAGCTTTTCCTATTATTTCTTTCGTATTAGGGCAACATTGTATTAATAAATAAGCTTACTCGTATGTCAAGTTGCGGTTAACTTTTCTTCATATTCAAAGACACATATTCAGCTTTTAGAGCCATTGTGTACAAATATAATCAGTTAAGATCGAATCGTAGTTGAGCTAACACGCTCAGGCTTTGCTTTATTGAAAATCAATCAATATTGAGGCATAATTTCAAGAATATATTCGATTCAATATCGAGTTTTAATATAAACTATGATGCATCAAAAACGTTTAAGTGTCATATTAGTTGTCCTGGGAGTCATAACTCAAGGTAAAAGTATTTCTAAGACACCTATAAATAAGTAAAAGTTTGTAAATTCCATTGCTTATTATTAAAACTGTATGTATTTAACTCGTTTTACATTTTTAAAATATCGCTTAAATTTTTTAAAATATTTACCTTCATATATAACTATGGGAATATGTACGTACATACATATGTACATAAAAAATTATATAACTATGGACTTCCCAATCGGACATTTTAAGACGTACTTATATTTGATTGTGTGTGTGGGTGCAATTACTTTTCATTTTTGCCGTGGCCTATCATTAGAAACAGCTTCCGAGACTACCAAAGCGCTGTTTTTCCGATTGGGATATTACTCTTATGTAATTGTATGCCACTTGGTTACATTGATTGTTACGCGACTACATGTGAAGTAGAGCATGGAATTTCAACTCTTTTGGAAGCATTTATGAACGAATATGTAGTTCATTTAGACGCTGCACACATCGAAGCAATACCCGTTGAATAGGAAACACAGGCTACATCGTGGCATTTGTTTTAAAATTGTCAAAATACTTATAAATAGTAGCAATAATATTATATATTTATTAATTATTTTTTAAGAAATGGTACGTGTATATGCAAGAAACCTACATACATATGTACGTATGAATGTATTTCTCATTGCGTTAGATACCTGAATGCCACATTAAAAAATAACTGGTACTAAAATAAAAGAAGAAATACAAAATTTTTAAGGCGGTCGTCAAAGATTGGAGATATACATATATACATACATATGTAGATATTTAAAGTTTTATATGTATCAATAATCTTATTTTTTTTAATACAAATTTTTTCAAAAGTTCTTATTATTGACAAAATAATATTTAAACACTTAATAAATAAGAAACAACATCCTTTGGTGTCATAGTACTAAGAGTGACAACAGTGGCTTTAACAATATTTAAAAATGTATATGCACATACATACATACGTACAAATGTATTAATAGAAACTGGTTTCCATTTGTCAAAATGAAAATGAAAGTACACATATGTACGAATGAATGTTGGTAAATATTAGTATGCCCATACGTACACAATGAATAAAATAGCGAAAACAGTTAATTTGCGCTGAAGTAGTTCCATAATAGAAATGCTAATCGTTGTTTTTTTCCAAAGGTTGCCGCATGTTAAGCTGGATATAGCGTCATTTTGGTTTTAGATATTAAATTAATTAGAATTTCAATAATTTTCTTGTTTGAAATACAATATATAAGAGTATGCATGTATATACGTATATATGTAGGTTTAGTACACCAACATATAACATACAGAATATTTGAACATAAGGTTAGATTAGGCTAAGTTACACTTGCCGGCTGATGTGCCTTACAGTTGGTCCTTTGTAGTGCCAGATGGAAATAATTTATTGCGATTTAAAGTGGTCGTCGTGTAGGACGTCACGAAATTTCAAAGAGACTTAATATCCCACTTGAAGCCTCCTTTCGTCCATTGAGCTGCGAAGCTCTGAGATATCTAAGTCGAGCTCTGGTTAAGGCTCTACAGAAATAGAGAAATTAGGTCAAGCTGAAATTGTTATTGATTGATTTGCGCGCATGTTGAGTTTGGGAAATCTCAAATTTAAAGAAGCTCTTTTCACTGTATTCGTGTTTGTTTTTCTTTACGACAACAGATTTTTAGGATTATACATAATTTATTTTTGAATTTTTTATTTGCTTAAAACATACAATATATGTACATATATACATACATATGTATGTATACGCCTCTCAAACTCTTAATTAAAGGTAAAAGCGGCCCCATTCAAGCATCCGAATGCCCTGAGAAAATAGGTGAACAAGCGTACGCGCACACGGAGCGATGTGATCAATTTTTCCTTTGTACAAATGGTACTTTGACTTTAGAAACATGTGAGAATGGTCTGCTATTCGGTGGAAAAGGATCTGTACATAATCATTGTAACTATAATTGGGCTGTTGATTGCAAGGGACGAAAATGGGATCGTAAGTACTTACAAATTTCTTTCGCATATAATTACAAATATTGAAAAATTCCTATTGCAAACAGCAACACCGATATCGACACCTGGTTGCGAGTATCAGTTCGGCATCTACCCAGTATCAAAAGAATGCTCTACAACATATATAAAGTGTGTTTTCGGCGAACCAATCGAGCAAGAATGTGATGCCGGATTGGCATATGACGATCGAACCCATGGTTGTAACTGGCCAGATCAACTTTTAGATATATGCAATCCTGAAGGTAAGAATCCACAAATTACTTTTTCACGCCAAATTACCGATATATGTATACATAATATTTTTTCAGCTGTGGTTGGTTTTAAATGCCCTACTAAAGTTGATTCAGGCTCACCAACTGCACGCTTTTGGCCATTCCCACGTTTTCCTGTTCAAGGTGATTGCCACCGTTTAATAACATGTGTTGAGGGATATCCACGTTTAATATCGTGTGGAGAGGACAAAATTTTCGATGAAAATACACTTACTTGCGAAGAGCCGGAATATTCAGCCTCTAAATGCAATAGCATTGGCAAATAATGAATTTCTTCTGAGAACTACTAATAGACAACTATCCTGCAAACACTTTTGTGGCTCATCACTGACATTAAATACTGATTAATTTTAATTACATAAACATATATATGTATATGTATATGAGTCTATATATTTAACTGGATCCATATTCTTCTTTTCTTTTGTTTTACTGGAATAGCAAAGTGCAATGTTACGATATCAATTTGAGTATGAAAAAATTATATTACACATTATATCCGCATAAATTCATTGTAAAAGAAATAACCCAAATATATATGTATGTACATATGTGTATTCATTCATTTATTTTTTTATTTACGTTAACATGCATTTCTTCCTTTCGTTGTTTGACGCCAATTGCAAATACCAAGTACATTCAGGTCCTTCTCCTCTTGGTCTTTCCTACAGAGTGGAAGTCTTTCTCTTCCTCTGCAGTGTAATTGTTTCTTGATTCGCTGAACTATGACATTGATTCGATGACATTTAGAGTTTAGTCTTCGTTCGTCTAGAGAGGATTTTAATTTTCAATTGTCTACTTAGCCCAAAGTAGCACCTGTTGGCAAGAGTGATTCTGTGCTGGATTATAAGGCTGACATTGTTATTGGTGTTGACGCTGGTTCCTAGATAGACGAAATTATCTACGATTTCAAAGTTATGACTGTCAACAGTGACATTACATCTTGTCCTCGTTCACTACCAGACCCATTCGCTTTTGCTTCTTTAACAAGCCTGGAGAAAGCAGAACTAACGAAAAGTTGGTGTGTGTCGATCCTCTTTTCTGGGGTCTTTTCTAAGATTTGACGCATGGTGAATATGTGGTCAGTGGTTGACTTACCAGATAAAAGTTATAAAGAAACGAAAGGTAAATTGGTTTTTTTTAATTACCTTTGACAGCACTACAGATACAATTGTATTAGTTTGCAATGACAGCATCAAGTCCTTTAACTTAACGGTAGTAATGCGAGTTGATTTGGGAGCATAGCCAGCATGACATACATTCAATCCCTCATTTCGTACTACATCGCCTATTTGCTTAACTAAGTCGTCGTATTTTTTGAAATCCATCAAATCTGAAAAATGCACTCAACTTGAAAAGCACTAAAATTAAATTAAGATTCAATTAATACCAATCTCCATAATTGAAGAATGACATCTTGCTAAGTCCTGCAGCTCCTAGAAACAAACAGAGGTATTTAGCTATTTTCAAATATATAAGTGAATATTTATATAAAAATATACATATGTAAATATTTACCCACTTGGAAAAGGTAATGTTAGTTAATGTAAAATGATTACTATCTAAATATTGGTCAAGTAAAAAGTACGTTCAGTTTTTTTTATTGATTTTTCAAACTATGATAACTTTGTGTACATTTGTCCGCTTTAGGTCAAATATGCGCCGTTTTGTTCGTAAACTTGTTGCCATTAGGACGCCTCTCTTGAGGCCAACTTCTCAACATTAATCCCGTTCGCCATAGACAGGAAAAGATGGTAATCATTTGGTGCTGGAACATAATTCGGCCTCTGTTGATCAAAAATGGCTTCGTATGGATGAGCGCTGCCTTCAAGCGGTACATTTGTTGGCAGCAGAGGGCCTAATTGAGCAATTAGCCATAGTGGAGCAGCTCGTAGTGCATGATTCCTTGTCTATCCCACCAACCACAGAGCCAAAACCTTCCTACCTGTCAATCCGGTCTTGGCCACCGTCTGGGCCGCTTCCCCGAGCTTTTACCACTCCCTCGATGTTGTCTTAAGTGACCCATTTTTCATCGCCAGTCGCAATCCGCTTCAGAAACGTGTCGATTTTGTTCTGATTCAGCAGCGATTCGCAGATGGAAATTCGGTCCATCATGTTTCTTTGCGTTAGTTCGTGTGGCACCCAAACAGCTTCTTTTTGAATCCAAGGTTATGGAAATGGTTCCAAACGGTTTTCTGTAGTTTCTCAGCAATTAAATAAGTATTCACGTCCCACTTTGGCTGCCTTTTCGCCTTGATCGAAGAAAAATTGTAAAATATAGCGAATTTTCTCTTTGCTGGTGTCCATCTTTGACGAGCACTCACAACGTACTGAGTCAATCAATCGAGAAACTGTCAAAGACAAACTTTTAGCGCGAATAAACACGTTTTCAACGCCGTATGGTATGACATGATGCAATACGTAACACTAGTACTATGGAGAATAATGCCATCTCTTAGATAAAAACCGAACGAACCTTTTACTTGACCTAATATATGTAAAATCTAAATTACGTACTGATACGGTCCGAAAATTTCATTGATAGTGGGCTATAGTCTTTTACAAAATACACTTGATAATACCTTAAGGGCCGTTTTCACCATCTCCGGTTAAGCACTTAATCATAGCTAATCGGAAGGTAGCATAAAATTCGTTTTCACAATGTCCGGTTAAGACGAATCTGTCAATTAAGTTACGGTTACCTTAACGCCAACATTGCAAATAGTAAAATAAAATAGTATTCCGGTGTTGGCTTAAAATAAATTTATTTATAAAAAATATGGAATGCATTGCCTATCTGGATTCATTGGTTCGGAAGCGTATTTATAGGGAAACCGCACTGAAGGGTTTGTAAAGAGTGTGCTTTGAGTAAATGAATATTATTTATAATTTATTCGATTTTTCAGAAATAAAACAGCAAAAATGTTTCTCATAGCATTACACTTTCCTGCATCGGGAAATTTTTTATTTTGTGTTAATGGTTTGGCGGAATAAAAGTGGCGACTGCTAGTCGGATGGCAAATAGTGCCCATAGCTGTAGCGGCTTGTTCAATCATTCATCAGAATACCGAAAAAAGCAGGCTGTCTTTTTCAATATTGTCATCCAGAACAATGATTATAATCTCGATGAAATAGAAGTTCAAGTGCATAAAGCAGCAGAACCACGGCATAGCTGAAGCGCAAACAAAGGCTATTGTAACATCTGACCAGATTATGTTGCTAGGGTGGGTTATTTGTATTAAAATTATTTGATAACTGCTTTAACCAAATGTTTCAACCGAATCGATTAAAATTTTTTCATTCACGTGAAATTTATAGTTACGATGCCACCTTGGGTTAAACTAAAGTTCATAAATGAGAATTACAGGCGTATTCTGTAGAGGTAACAAAATTTACTTTGGTATTAAAATTTACCATTCACAGGCCTATTCTCACAGTTACCGGTAAAGTAAATTTTGTTATTCTGGCGAACTGGTTACAATGTTTGAAAAAAATTTGGCAGCACTGCTTTCTTCGTCCATGTCAAATTAAATTTGCTATTTGATGAAGTAAAAAGAAAAATATTCACATCGAAATGGAAGACTGTGCACTAAAAAACTAAAAAGTTTTATTAATTTCTTTATTAAACCATAAATATTTGAACCTAATTATGGAAAATATGTCATGCCTGGACAACTTCTTAAAACTTCTTAAAATACGGCGTTTTGCACTTTTTTCTTCATCTTCAATGAATTCCAGGCCTAAAATATGCCTACCCATTTTGGTTTTTATTTTTTCTGAAACTAACAAAACAAATTTAAACAGCAGATATTTTTGTTACCTCCTATTTCGCTGGTAACAAAATTTACAGGGTAATAATGAGCTCAGAATACGGAATGGTAACAAAATTTACTGAAAGGCGAATTTTAATATCTAGGTTAATATCTAGGTAACAAAATTTACTGAAAGGCGAATTTTAATATCTAGGTAAATTTTGTTACCTCGACAGAATAGGCCTGTCAGTAAATTATGTTACTACAAGTATTTCGTATTCTAAGTTCACTATCACTCAGTAAATTTTATTAGCAGCGAAATAGGTAACAAAAAATCTATTGTTTGATTTTGTGTTGTTGGTTTGAGAAATAATAATGGAATTCATTGAAGATGAAGAAAAAGTGTAAAAAGGCGTATGCTAAGAAGTTTACAAGAAACAAATGACCCTTTTAATTTCGAAGATAGCATTTTCATTCAGCTTTTTTTTGTCGCTTAGGCATATCTTCCAAAATTAGGTTCAAATATTCAAATTCAATTTCGGGTCTTAAAAAAAAAGTAATAAAATTTACTTTACCCGTAACAGTGAGAAAAGGCCTGTTAAATTAATTTTCTATAACTTTTTAGATGTTAGTAGGACACCAGGATTTGAACCCGAGCCTTCCGAATGGCAGTACGCAATGCTATCCACCGGGTACCGCGACCGCCAAGGCCAACTCATTGGTTTTATGAATGATTTTTTGTACTGATGTGTGTACGCATGTGCTATTGAAACTACATTGCCGCGAAGAAGAAATTACATATTACACATCATAAATAACGTACAATAATTATACGAAAAATCATCAATATATTACTCAATAGCTTCCTTGCAACAGTTCAATAGTTCAATTCAATCTATGTATGTATGTATATCCATGAGAGGTAGAAAATTTTTTCTGTTAAGTTCAACTTCTAGACAAAAAAGGAAACTGAGGAGCGTACATAGAAATGTGTTTTTGTATTTGTAAATTCTTCCAAAAAAAAGTCGTACAGAAATTTAAAAGATTTCAGTGGTTTTATGAGTGCTTGGTACATGATTTTTCTAATACAAATATACATCATAAAATTAAAATGGATTCTGCTCATTGATATGATGAAAAGCGGCACGGCACTAGTTCACAACCCACAACACTAGAAATCATTTTTTTTTTTAATTTTCATTATTCTTAATTATTAATTTATGTTTAATTAGTTCTATTTCTAAATTATGTATATTATTAGTTTAAATAATAAGCAAAATTTTTGTCAATATATGAACAATAAATATCATTTTTTCCAATTTCATACATATTCATACATTCTGCGCATTAAGTTCACTCAATTTACGCATGCCTCAACGTCTCTAGCTTTACATTTTCCCATAAGAGAGCGTGGTATGTAGTCTATTTTTAGCTCGTGTTCAATTGGCTTTTCTTCATGACCAGAGACTGACAATTTATTTGCAGAAGAGTGATTTTTGTGAGACAATTTCTGTAAATGAAAATGCAGTTTAAAATATGCGTTACACATTTATTGCATATTAGTAATTTTTGTAGTATTTATTAAAATACGTTAACAAATCATCCGCACATCCAAACGAGTAAACATAACAATCATTTAGGTAAATACAATACGTACATGACTTACCTTCATCATTTTAACCAACATTCTATTTATATTATGAATATTTCTGTTTTTACTTTATTTATTATGTTGTCTATACTAAATTTATAAATGGTCAAAAAATATTTGCATATGATGTAAATAGCAATACAAAAAAAAAAAATAAAATAT